TGTAGCCGTATTGCGTGTTGTTTAACATGTTGGATAATGGATTCAGGGCTAGGCAGAACCAGAGAGGACTCAAGGAATCTCCTTGAAAAATTCCTCGCCTAATGAATATTTCGTTTGTTTGTATGGAAGTGTTACTAACCCTGAGATGTAGTGTTGTTCTCCAGTGCTGCATAGTGTTTTCGAAGAATGCAATGAGTGATGGATGTATTTTGTACATGTGTAGAATATGTAGCAGCCAACTGTGTGGAACACTGTCGAATGCTTTTCTGTAGTCTATATATGCCATGTGTATGTTTCTGTGTTGTTTGTGTGCTTGCCGTAGAATGACTGAATCTATGAGTAACTGTTCTTTGCATCCCCTGTGATTTCTACGGCAACCTTTTTGTTGTTCTGTAAGAATGTCGTGTTCTTCAACATGTTTGTATATTTTGTTTGTGATACAGGATGTCAATAATTTGTAGAGTGTTGGAAGACATGTAATTGGTCTGTATTGTGTGGGGTCTGTGGTTTTGTTGTTTTTAGGTTTCATGTAGGTGATGCCCTGAGTAAGAAATTTTGGCATGTCTTGTGGATTGATGATGATGTGTGTTAGATGTTTAGCTAGTTCCTGGTGCAGTGATGTAAACTTTTTGTACCAGAAATTGTGAATGTTGTCTACACCAGGTGTCTTCCAGTTGTGTGTTCTGTTAACAGCGTAGCGAATGTCGTGTATGTTTATTTCAGCACAGGGCATAGTTGGTATGTTGTGCAAGTTTCTGTTCTCCTCCTCGATCCAGCCTGCATCAGCATTGTGTGTAACAGCATTGGACCAAAGAGAAGACCAATAAGTTGTGAGTTCTTCTTCTGTTGGTGTGCCACTGTGCTGTGTATCAGTGTTTGTTTTGGTACTGATTTGTCTGTAGAAAAGTTTTTCATTGTTTGTGAATAATTTATTTTGTTGTTTTCGTAGTGTACATGTTTTGTATCGTTTGAGTCTACGTGCTTTGGCTGCGAGTTTTTGTTTTAGTGTATCGATGTATTCTGTAATGTGTGTGTTGTGATGTTCATGTTTTGTGTGTGTTTTGATTTTCTTGAAAATGTTTTTGAGTTGTTTCTTTAATTTGGGTGTTATGTTGTTTTTAGTGTATTGTGTCAGCCTGCCTAATTGCTGTCTAATGTCATTTATTTGTGTTTCTATTCTTCTCTGCCAGGCAGGCTTGTGATAGAATTGTGTTTTGTGTGTGTCTGTCTGTGAGTGTATTTTCAGTCCATGGTGTGTTACTACTGTGACTGCCCCAGCATAAACTAATGTATGAATGTCTGAGAGTGTAGAAATTGAATGAATGTAGTTTGGTAGTAAGTGAGTGTTTACATAATTTAGTGTTTTTCCTACTACCTTTGACGTGTTGATTTTCGGTATTCGTGGTCTTTGTGTGGGATCTGTACCTGTATATTTAGTGAGTGTTTCCTGAAATATAAGTGAGAGTGTATTAACTAATTCTATGTCTACGTTATCAGTGATGGATGGGGAAGTGCCTGCAGTATCATTAGTGGTACTTGTTGTGTGTGTGCTGTAATCAGTGCTTGTTGCTGGATTATCCTGACAGGTTACGTGATCTTCATTAATGTTAAATGTTTCTGTCTGTTGATGTATTTGATCAGCAACCTGTTGTTTGATAAGTTCAAGTGTTGTTTGTGGGATAAGGTTGTTGTGTATAATTGTTCTTTTTTGATCAACAACCCTTTGTTCGGTGACAGTGAGGTGAGGATATTGTTGTGTGAATCTATGGTGTAGTTGTTGTCTGTATGCTGTCATGTTTGTTTCGAGTCTTGTGATGGTGTAGTAAGTGCGGATGATAAACTCGTTCATTTCTGTTGTCCATTTCATCCGTTGGCGTGGTTTTCCAGCCTTTGTGGTCTGTGGATGCATTGCCACAGAAACACCAAGGCTAGGTTGATTCCTCACATCTGTTGAGGGCATTGCAGTAGCCATGCTTGGGCCGGCGCTGCTTTCGCCACCGGTAACCAAGGGAGACTGCGGCCTATTTTTCGAACATGAGCCTCTGCCTAACCCACGAACGCGGACCTTGTTAACCTGGGCGATGTCCGAGCCGGTATCACACTTTGATTTGGTTACTACCATGATAATTATCTCCACAGAATGTGGGTGTGGTCACTCTTAGCTTCATTTCTCCCCATAGACCTTACTGGCATGGGTGTCCCTACCAGGAGCTTGCGCTTCAGCCTGCATTGCTCTATGGTTCAGTAAAATTACTTGGCTCTCCCACCACGACCAGGTGGTGACCATGGGAGAGTTATTATTATTATTATTATTATTATTATTATTATTAACTCATTTCGATTATATTATAAAATTGTGAATGCTAATAATGAGTAAAATATTCATTAAATCCAACTACACTGGTAAATATGACACATGACCTCTTCTGTCTCTATCCTATCCACTTTTAATTAAGAACCAAAATTTAATAGCATTAATGCCCTTTATACACATGCTACTGTGCCAAATTTTGTTTCTTAAACTTTACTCATTCTGAGATATTGTTTAATATTTCAGAACAGAATAAAGAAATTAAACAAATTAGACACCAACATATGTGCATGCACATGCATGAATTTTTCCCTTTATTTGACATTTTTTGGGTTCAAGAGATCTCCAAACATATAGATTTGCAAAAAACTCAGAGGGTCAAATGTGGCATTATTCAAATACTTCTTTGTTTTCTATATACATAACAAGTTGGAAAAGTAAAAAGGAGTTGGTCAGAGTCAGGTGGGATTTTTGACGACTACAACTAAAACACAAAAACTCCACGACTCTGACTCCACAGCCCTGATTTATAAAGAAAAAATTTACAAAAATATATTTATACAAATATATTTTTTTGCAATTTGTCATCAAAAACATGCTAAAATTGTTTGAATTTAATTTTGTATAATCCATAACATAAGTTACAAAAATAATAATTTTTTATTATACACGAATAAGAATTTTTTATAAAGATAATAGTTAAATTGTTATACCATATAAAAAAGTATATTGCAGTTCAACTGTTTGTATTTTGAGTAGTTGAATCAAAAAGAACTTGAGGAGAGTTTAAGGTAAATTGATTTATTGAAAAAAAAACTGTAAGGTTTTTAATTTTGTAAATATTTTTGAAAACTTTATAAAAATATTTTAGTAAGTTATAAATTTTTTTCCCAAGATTCTTTTTCTGAGATAATTTTACCAAACCTTAAAAATGATCAGCACAGTAATGAATGATTATTGTTACATGCTTAATCTTTAATTTACATAATAGATTGATTTCATATAATTCAGAAATGTTTCATTCAGGAAATGAAAGGATAGATTTCAAGGTTTCATTTTTCTATTAACCAATAAATACAGAGTAACAAATATAAAATGAACAATATCATTTTTGTTTGGTCATTAAAACTTCGTTAACATAGAAATGTATAATATAAATAATGAACTTCACTTCTAATACTGGAGGTAATATAATTCTCTCCACTTGAATAAAAACAACACATGCTTTGATGTCATTGAAGCAAGAGCGTGGTGTTCTATATTTTTGATATTAACGTTGACGTTCTAGGATTTGAATCACATTTATTTGGTTCATGTTCGATTTTGTACTGTTTGAATTTATTGAAACAGTGGCCTGAAGAAGACCCTGGTAGGGCTGAAAACGTTTGCCAAGAAGAATAACACTGGAGATTGAAAGGTTTTTATTCAAGTGGAGAGAAGTATAATATAAATTTAGTGAAAATGAAATTTTATTCTGGAGTTTTTTTTGCTTGTTGATAAACAAAGTTTTTCTCCTCTTTTATCTTGTTTTTCCTCATTAGTTTACTGAATATGTTGATGTTCTTATCTCAATAAAACTTGTTATAAAAGCTTGGTTTTTTTAAAATCTCTATTTAATTCTTTATAAATTTCCTGATATGGATTATGTTTAACATGTAAGGTGTGAATTCAAGACATAGTACAAGATGCCATCTCTTTTGAATGTGCAGTGGGATCTGATTAACTTAAATTAGTTGGGAGAAAAAAATTCTGATTTTGAGTTAAAAAGCTTTGAGTTAGGGATAGATTCAGTTAAAAATCAATAGGCTTATTGATGTACATATAAACATATCAAAACCTGATGTTATGATTCCCCTAATATATCAGGCTAATTTTTCACTACTATTAATACTATACTTTCATGGATTGTCGGTCTGTCTGAGGGAGATCATAAAATCAGATATTTTCATATGGTAAAAATCAGCATGCCAGTTTAAATGAGGTTATACATCCCTCTCTAGAAGGCACATTAAAAAAATGAACGTTGCGTAAAACAAATGAGGTTTTATTCTAAAACTGTGAAACTGTCAGCATCACATCAAAAACTATGATTATATGTTTAATTTCTGCATTTTGTGTTTTTTCTAACAGGCATGCTGTCCATAATTACTAAATGTAAATGTTATAGTTTTACAGATCTCTTCCAGAAGAGAATTTTAAAATTTTAAGAAGTTTTTACAGAGGAAATTTTCTACTTTTGTTTCCAAACAGCTTTGCAAACAACCTTTTCAAAAATGAAATATATAAAATAAAATATTTAAGATCACTGTCCAATGGATGTCTAAAGGCAACTTTAATGTTGGTGCCAAAAAATTTGTCAACATTCTTTCAAAAAAGCAATTGCAAATTTCACATTGCTTTACATTCATCATTATTTAGAAATAAAGACAATCTTAATCTTATTTGTTCCTGTTATGTTTTACAGCTCACATTGGCCTTCTCAGATAAACATTGGAGATTCTTGTTTGTTAATGATTTGTTTGATTTACACTGGATTATAAATTAGCTATTAAATTACTTTGCTAAAAATTGGCATGAAATTATTTTTAATAAAAGTATAACCCAATGAATCATTTAAAATTTGATTCTAAATAAGAACTAATTTTGAGATTATATGATTTTATTTATTGTATTTTTAAATGGCACTTAGGCTGAAGGTGTTGTCAAAGAAGAAGATGTTGTGATCATCTTAGATCCTACTAATCAACAAAGAAGAAAACGAAGAAATGTTGAAACTGAGACCTATAAAGGTATTACATATATGAAGTATTAATTAAACAATAAATTGAAATGCTTTTCAATTTAGTCTGGAAGTGAGATCAGACTGAGGTCTACCAGATTACACTATCAGGACAGTAGTAACTGGCAATGAATCTGCACAATAAGCAGAAGTTGTAGGCTTGAATCTCCTCCAGATTGATCTTTTCTTTCAGAATATCCTAAACTACTTAATTGTAATTATTAAATTTTACACAAGATGTCAACTTAATGCCTAACTTTAGACCAAATTACATAGCATTTGTATATTTAATTACCCAAAATATAGCCAATAATAAATCTGGCTTGACGTTTTGATTAATAGTTTATATTATGTGATCATTTGCCAATTATAAAATTAGATTACATTTCATTTACTTAGTTTATATGAATGACTACATAGATTTTTCTTATAAGTTCTTGACAGAAATAAAACAAAAACTTACAAGTAAAAAAATTTAAAGGTAATTCTTTGTGCCTCATGTCTTTACTATTTTAATTTTGTTTTTTATATTGTCCATATAGATCTTGTTTATAAGACTTTCAAAACTACACCAGTATAATAAGTTGTATTTATAAATAAGGTCTACATGGACAATATAAAAAACAAAATTTAAAGGTAGTTTTAATAGAAATCATGTGAAATACAGGGTATCTGAGAAACATGTACATTGTAGAATTTCATTTAAAAAAACGATGTGGTCTCTCAAAATGTGGTTTGTGATAAAAGAAACATTACCTCAAAGTGTTTTTATTGCAAAAATTAATACAAAAGCTGAAGTAGTTTGCATATATTCAGTGAATCTCGACATGTTCTTCTTTAGTTGCATGAAGAATGTCCAGTTGATAACTGTTTTCTGCCAGGTGTTGTTTGGCATTTCCCATGTAACATTGGAGGTTGCAAGTGTTATCCTTTCTTTCAAAACAATAAAATTAGGAACAGGTGTTTAATACACAATGTCTTTTACATAATCCCACAAAAAGAAATTCAGTGGGATTATGTTGGATGATTTAGGGAACCAGGGTATTGGTCTCTATGTCTAATTCATTGTCCAGGAAACATGGTTTCCATAGGTAATTTGTTTGATACAAACCACCCAGTGAGGGAGTGCATTGTCCTGTTGAAACAGTACAGTTGGCTGTATGTGTTCCAGTTGTGATATGACATAGTACTTCAGAATATCATAATAGATATCCCCATTAACTGTGTTTTCCATGAAGACAATGATTGTGTCATGATAACCTCAAGGTTAATGTCATACTAAGCATTAACCTTGGGAAAATCCTGTTCATACTCTACCACATTGCATGGGTTTTCAGAGCCCTATATTCTAACATTATGGCAATTGTCTTTTCCTGAAACATGGAATGTTGCTTCATCACTAAAGCAAATCCTGTTAAGGTCCTCTGTTTCAATCCTGCTTAACAAAGTGCATGCAAATTCAAATCTCCATTGCAGATCATTTGGTTTCAAAGCTTGACATATTTGTGTAGACTAACGACCATAACCATTTGTATATCACATTGTAAGCAGTAAAAACTTGGTTAATTAAATTCTCATGAAGCACGTCTCACTAATTTCCTCAGACTCCTATAAAACTCTTCTCTAACTTGTTGCAGATTTTCATCCAATGTCAATGAATGATTGTAATGTTTTGAGTGCTAAAATCTTCCTGTATCTTTGCATTTCTGTATGCAAGCTATAAACTGAGTAGTTAGTTGGTGATGTCTTTCTGTACTTCATCTGACACTTTCTTTGCACAATCATGTGTGGTTTTTCAGTTATTCAGCTAACCACAATACATATTGTGCTTTTTCCTGTGTTGTCATCATTTTGAATTGTATAAGCCACTAGCACCATCTATTAGACACCATAAAAACTTTTTTGAGTTAATTTTTCTTTTATTACAAACTGCATTCATCAATGGGTAACTTCATTTCTTTTCAAATGAAATTTTATAATAATGGAGATCTTTCTCAGATACCTGCATATCTGACAAACAAACCAAAAAAGAAAATAATTAATTATTTTAACTGTGTCAAAAACTACTTACTTCAGCAGTAAACCAAAACAGTGCTTATTTCCAACTATTTCACTAACGTTTTCGAACTTCGTTCTTCCTCAGGTGAAACGGGTAGAATCGATGTTATTCGAAATTTGAACGCAATGTTCTAAGGAAACTCGTGCACTCATCGTGTTAAACTTGCGCATGCTCTGTAGATAGAAGGATTGCTTTTGGCTTCTCAAGTGTCGTAAATAAGAGTTTGCCATGCCATCGACAAGGAAAGCCTCCTTAATATTTAGAAGATGTCCCACTATATTTAGAATGTTAAATAATGCAAAAGACATTCCACATCAAAACAAATTAGCAGGAGTATACAGGATCCCTATAAAAGATCATAGGTGTGATAAAAGTTTAGTATACGTGGGATCGACAAAAAGATCGTTGGAGGTGAGGATCAAGGAACACAAGGCGGACATCCTGCATAAAAGATATTCGACAGCACTAGCACAATTTGCCACGGACCCTGATATAGAAGCTGTATTTGATGAGTCAAAGATAATTTACACCACACAGCTAATACACCATTTGTGCTGGATGGAAGCGATATATATCTATAAAACAGCAAAAGAAGACAACTGTATAAACAATAAAGATGAACTATCCTTGTCGATGGCATGGCAAACTTTTATTTACGACACTTGAGAAGCCAAAAACGATTTTTCTATCTACAGAGCATGCGCAAGTTTAACACGATGAGTGCAAGAGTTTCCTTAGAACATTGCGTTCAAATTTCGAATAACATCGATTCTACCCGTTTCACCTGAGGAAGAACGAAGTTCGAAAACGTTAGTGAAATAGTTGGAAATAAGCACTGTTTTGGTTTACTGCTGAAGTAAGTCGTTTATTTTTACAGTGTGTTTAGAGGAGATTATTGTGTCAAAAACTCTTACAAAGAAAGATTGATAGAATTGATTTATATTTTATATATAAAGTCAATATGTTTTTTACAGAACTTGATTTTCATAGAAGTTTTAATTACAAAAATACTATTACAAAAAGAGATTTATACATGAAAACATATTTGTTTTAGCAAATAAACAACTTTTTATTTTATAATTTATATTACTTATAAATTTTAACAAAATAATCTTTGTATGTAATTTTCCTGTAGATACAATAGATGATTCTCAGAAACTTCAAGTAACTGCAATAAAACTTCTCCCCAGTGAAAAATATGTACCTGGAACTGAATCCTGTGTAGTTTCTGCAATTGGTAAGTTGAAATTTTTTTGGTTAAAAATGATTAATAGTATTATTAAAAAGCTTTCAATATTTTATAAATACAGTCAAAGATTTAAAGTCTTTATAACAAAAAGATAAGTAGACTTGGTTGGTATTTTAATACAGCTTTTATAACTGTATAATTAATTACTCTATAATGAAAACTAATTTAAAACAAAAATGATTTTCTAGGTAAAAGAGTAAAAATAAAACTATAATGGAAAAAAGACCTACATGACAAACAATTGTGGTTAGATCAAATTTTATTATCACACATCATCATTAACATAGATTAGGCCTGCCAACTTATAGCGGGGTATGATGAATTTTCATGATGTACTTTACATCTCTGTTCTTCTATAAAAGCTTAATAATCTATTTTAAGAAAATTATGCTGCAAAACATAGTTATTTTATTTATTGCATGTTAATTAACATTTCATATTATCTCTTTTATATAAAAATACTAAAACTTAAATTAAATGGTACCATTTGACAAAATTTATGATTTGTGAGACAATGAAATAAAATTTTTTCCTTATGGTATTATTTTATACCATAACGAAAAAATTTTATTTCTTTGCCTCACAAATCATAAATTTTGCTCCTCTTTGACTCACTTATTTTGCACTTAACTGAAATTGCTTAGGGCACAATAAAATAATTACTAAAATTACAATATAGCAATAACCATTCACACAAAAAGCATTTCTTTGTATCCACCATACATTATCTTATGAGGTGTTATATTTCAACTATTTGCCATAGATTGATATCTCCATGAAAAATATGGACTTAATATTCCTATTAAAATTATGCCATATTTTTCGTATCATGTCTTAACAGATCACATTTTCGTGATTGACCAAAAATGATGCATCAATGAACTGGTCAATCATGTGATTGACTTGTCCGAGGTACTGGACGGGGGTAGAGGGTCTTGAATATACTCTCTATCACTTAATTGGCTTCTAGTCTGTTGGGAAGAATATTTTTCTCTGTTTTATAGACTATACAAAGGCATTTGACAATGTGAAACATGATTACCTTATTAGATGTCTAGTAGAAAATGGTATGGATGGAAAGGATGTCAGATTACTTGCCAATTTATACTGGGGACAGAGGGCTACAATAAGGATTGGCAAAGAATGTTCGCAAANTGTGTTATTTGAGTCTGCTAGAGTTACTGCTTTATGTAATTGTGATGTTTCTTGTTTCCTGTAGAAAAACTCTCACAGTGACTGTATTTGTTTGTAATGAAGATTAACTATGTCGATCAGGCCACATCCATCATCTTTATGTGGAAGGGTTAATCTGTCTGTGGAGGATTTAGGATGATGTTCTTTATGCTTAGTAAGTGTTGTTCTTGTTTTCCTTTGGAGTTGCTCGAGATCTGTGTGAGTCCATTGTATAACTCCAAAAGAGTATGTGAGCACTGGGATGACATATGTATTTATTGCTTTAACTGTGTGTTTTGCTTTTAGCTGTGTTTTGAGAATGGCATTTAACCTACTTTGGTATTTTTTAATTAATCTTTGCTTTATTTGTGTATGTTCTGTTAGTTTGGCCTGTTGGAATCCTAAATACTTGTAGAACTCGCCCTCTTCCATGGATTCAATAATGTCTCCATTTCCAAGTGCAAATTCTTCTTTCTTCAGGATTCCTTTTTCTATGTGAAGTGTTTTGCATTTATCTAGGCCAAATTCCATTTGTTTGTCCTTAGTGTATGAGTGTGTGATTTGTAGGAGTTGATGAAGTTGTTTCTGTGTGGATGCATAAAGTTTTATATCATCCATGTCATCAGATTTGACAGCGTAAACTGTGTTGTTTTTTCATGTCTGATATTGTAGCCATANAATATTAAAATATTGTATAAAGTAAAAAATCTTGTAAAAAGATGCATCATAGAACATTATTGTATTAAAGGACATGTAAATTGTATAAATTTAAATAGTGGCGCATGTGTTAATGCATGCTGGGATAGCTTGATAGAGTATAAAAGTACTGGCAACGTAACAATGTAATATCCACTGATGAGGCTGACAAGCGAAATATATATGGATAAAAAAATGGATAAAAATAGAAAAATAAAGTAAGAAATAGTGAAAGTGATTTTCTGGTCTTTCTCTGTTTTTTAAACTCTATCGAAGTCAGATTTTAAAAAGTGAATTCACTTGTATTTCTTAAAGGTGTTTTTTAAAAGAAAAATTTTTTTAAATTTATTAATTGTAATAGATATTATTGATTTCTCTATTAGACCATATTTAAATTAAGTGGAAATCTTAGTCACTGTTCATTACTTTTTTATCTTGTATGATAGTCAACTCTAGTAGTGGTACAAAAGACATTGATGACACAGCAGTATATTCAGGAAATCCTTCACTTTCATATGATGCCTTTTATTGCAGTGCTAAAAGCAGTCATTTACCAGTAATATAATGCTCCATTGCACACAATTAGGATTTCTCAGGAATGAATTTGTTACATTGTTGCCTTTTCAGCAGAAGGGATACCAGTTTTGGCTATCTATGAGTTTGAGGGATCTGGAGTGGCATTTGAAACATTTATTGCAGGAACAGCATAGGTGTCTGTATACCTCTATAATCAATTAAATTGTTGCATATATCTAAAAAGAAAAAGTTCTACATGGTACTAAAGTTTTCTTTAAATTATACTATTGTTCCACAAGAAATTGACCCATTTTTATGATATTGTAATTATTTATGAGCATTGCTCTTATATTGCCATAAAGTTTTATTCAATTTAAATATTTCCTTCTTGGTCCTTAATATTTTTGTTAATGAATGTATCATGTAAAATATTTCTTTTATTCCATTATATAATAATAGTGTATTCTTCTGAAAGCTCAAGAATCTTCATAATGTATTAGTGGATCATAGTTTTTCAAACAGGTTAAATAAAAAAATCATATTTATTGAATTTCTCTTTTTCTTGTAGTCTACTTATGTTTCTTTTCATTCCTTAATTTAGATTGTTTCAAATTTAAAGAATAATTAAACTTAGTGCAGTCATAAGAGCATATGAATAAATATTTTGATTCTATTTAGAATATTAGATTTTAATTCTTAGTTATAAATATTTATCATAAAACTAACTCATTGTCATATTTAAAACAGATTGCATTAATTTTATAATGTTTAAAATTTGAATAAATAAATTTTTTATAAAACAATACTTATTGATTCAATAATTTTTTACAAATGTTAATTGAGCTTTTAATAATTATTTTTTCATTATCTGAGAGTATGAAAAAATAAGCAAAAATATTAATAAAAATTTAATTAATTATATTAATTAAATTATTATCAATATAATTAAAAATATATTACAGGTACTGAATATGGCCCAACAGTCGAAACTGTGATTCATGATCCTGAGACTTTAATTCGGATGCCTGTTGGCTGTGGAGAACAGAACATGATGTACATGGGTCCAACTTTGTACACATTGCGATTTTTAAAAGTTAAAGGAGATGTGACACCTGAACGAGAAGGAAAAATTTATAACTTCATTAGAGAAGGTAAAAAATTTTTATAATAAATTATTTATATATTTTTCTATAAATCTATAAATTATTTGTGTATATAGACATTTTCAAAATGTTTATATTTCTAATGCTCTTATATTAGAAAATTGCTTGTTTTCATGTTTTTGAAACCATGTCATACTTCACTTATAAGAGTATGCTCTTATATGTGCCAGCTTGTTTTGGTTTATAAGAGCACTGCAATGCTGTATCAATCTAAATTAATGTAAACATACTGATACAGTAATTATTCAGTAACTTCTCTGTAGTAACTATTATTAAAAATAAAAAGCCAAAATAAAATATGCTTCTGATACTATACAAATTCTTCTAAATATTGAGATTTTTAGATACTTTATGGAAATGTAATGCTGATTTTGCTGCATCTATAAGAGCATACTATTATACGCATGGTAAGTATGTGATTTGGTATTAGCTAGACCGAGGTCAACAAGTCTACAACAAACAAACAGTCGGCTTACAGATTTACCTTTATTTATAACAATTACGTGCTCAGCAAACTGAGGGTTCATGTGAACTTTTCTGAAAAACTCCTTTACATAGTCACATGTTCTGAGAAAAGCAAAATGCTCACTGCAAAGCATATGCGAAGCAGGGTTAATTAAAAGAGGAGTACCTCAAGCCAGTAGCATTTAATGCTACAGGTCAGAGGGAGTGCTCCACTAAATGTAAAAAAAAAAAAAAAATGTAGTCACATGTTCCAATTACACATAACACTCATACCTTCACTCTCCTTCTTCCTTCCTTAACACATAACAAGGTTTGCACTAGTTTTACATTAACATGGAAGTTAAAATGAGAACAACCTTCTCACGGAAATCCAATGCTTAAACAATAATCTCTAACCGACAGCTATCGCATTTGGAGACAAAATAATTGTTTGTGATGATACCTCAGGTGCTCTAACTTCTTTATTGACTCTATACACTCTGTTATTTTCTTATACACCACAGATGGAATTGGATTCTATTCCCTTTCCCTTCTCCAATGGCTGAACGGGTCTTCTCTTCTTAAACCAGTACTTTCCTGATATTCCTCAATGGCGCCTACACAAAAAGATGCTGTTTCACATCTGGACCTGCTATTTATACCCATTCTTGCTGCTCCCATGTGATCTCTTTGGTAACCAATCAAAAGATCCGTCTACACACACCATGAAAAGAAGGTACGGAGTGAGAAAGACACGTGTCAAACACGAACAACAAAACAAACAAAGAAAAACAAAAGAAAACTTGATACAATAATGAACATAATAAAACTAATGTGAACTAAGTACAAAGGATAATTATATATATAAATAATATATACATACACTTCACTAAACAACCACCAATAAGTGGCGGAGCACTACATATGTGCAGTATGGGCATTACAAATATGAATAAATTAGGTATCATTTTGTTATTTGACTAAACAATTCATTGATTTAAAAAAATACAGGATGATTCTTTTGGGTGCACTCCTGCACCTGGAAATACATGGTGAACCCCATAGTTTTAAACTATTCTGTAAAATCCATTTGTTCAGGTATATGTATCAGAGAATGTTTGCCAATATTCCAAGTTTCATATGCATATGCTTGAAAGGACCATGTGGTGATGATCTGGATCTCTGTTACCATGTGGTCTAGATCAGTGTTTTTCACCCGTTGGTCTGCAAAAAGTTTTACTGGTCCACAGAAAAATATTTGACCACACTGATACTGATGCAGTTGATTTTGAATGACATTTAAAAAGTAACCTAGAATTACTGTATATATTTTGTTACTTACAATAAATCTAGATTATCATAGATAAGTGTAATAAATAAGCATAATTCATAGATGCACATAATTATCGGTCCACATAGAATTATCCATAATTTTACTGGTCTGTGATGAGAAAAAGTTTGAGAAATACTAGTCTAGATCATTGGACTGGTTGATGCAATCCAATTTCTTGACCTATTTCTGACATTACCCCCTTTGAACTCCTCCTTTGTGGGATTGTCAAGGATCATATGTATGATAGAAAAGTGCCAGACATAAGAGCCTTGCATACAAGAATTGTGGATGCAATTAATAATGTGATTCCTGACATGCTGGCTTAAACATGGGCTGAAATTTAGTACAGATTGGGTATCATTATATGTGCCAGAATAGGCGCACATGTGGAAATATACTGTTAATGTAGTTACAAACTTTTTCATATGCACTTTTTGTTTCCCATTGTCTACAGTACTGTACTTGAGTTTCTTTTCTTAATTAATTCACAAAATTAGAGAGGCTTGAGAGGAACACCCTGTACATATATTCATTACCTAAAGTTTAAAAGGCATACTCAAGTCATTAAATTTGATAATTTATAATTTTGTTTCAGAGGGAATACTTATACTTCATAATATAATGAACACAAAAAACTGGATAATCACTAACAAAACACATATTACTTACTGGAGTTTGGTTTAATATGTAAAACTAGCTGTTACTCGCAACTTTGCTTGTGCGGATTTTGCAAGCAAACCCCATTTATATTCNGAAGCACAAGATAGGTCATGGTGGCATGAAATGGTTGTCAACCTCCTGACAGGAGAAGACACATAAAGAAGAAGTCTGTTGGACTAGCCCTCTCGTTGAAGGATGGAGATTATACTGGTTATTAAAAAACGTGGAGACAAATGATCATAAAATTACAGTCTCCTAATGTCAGGCTCCTGACACCAGTTAATCAATTTATCACGGATTAACACACATAAACTATTATAAATATATGTGATATCTGAGTGATGACATCTGTATAAATCATAGAAGGGTTTACTTCTCGATATGAGTGGAGACTAATTAATTAGACCATTATAAAAACAACAACAATATTTAATAAAAGCTAAATGGAACACTTACAATAAAAATACAATATACTGAGAGATCAAATATATGCTAATCTAATCTATGTGCATGAGAGAGAGTTTACAATGAACTATCAGTTATACTACCTTCACAGAGGAGGCTTATTCTTGTCTTTAGATGAGATGAAGGGAAAATGTACCCTAATTCTTCTCTATACGAGGATGGCTTGCTGTTTTCCTCAAAGATCTATATGGAGTCGACTTTGAATGCAATGTATGGAAATATCTTTATGTTGGACTCCTTCTTATATGGAGGGACTTTACTCTTCAATAATCTATGTCAAACTTCTCTGTCTTCTATATGGAGGACCACTATAGATCCTTCTCCTGTATGGATCTGATGGAGAACTCCTCGATCTCAGGATGTGCTTTGCTATATTAAATGTTACAATCAAAATATGGGCTTTTCTGTCATCAACGGGATGTTCAGGGAGGAATGAAGGGGGTAAACATGCAGATGGTTGTCTAACTTTCAAGATAAGGGTTATGTGAAAGGAAGTTTAATTCTTCACTCTTTCTAATGTTACATCCTTTTTTTTGTGAATAATTATTTATCAAAGAAATAAAATATTTTGTTATATTTTATATCAATTAATCTAATTAACCTGCAGATCTCACACTTGTAATGCATCATCTATGTCTGAGGTGGACAAAATGTCCACTTCTGACATAGATGATACTTTACAAGTACACAAACATTTTCCAGTAAATGAAATAATTAGGCCATCATTACTTGAATGTGAAGTATTGAAATTTATTGAACAAAGGACTGTGCAAAAAAGATATAAATGACTCCTTCAATGTTATAAAGTCAATTGTGACCAATGGCATAACTACCATTTGTGCAACTTGTGCAACTGCACAGGGTGCAATACAGCTAGGAACCCTTTGGTCTCTTACTCTACCAACATAGTTGTTTTATTATGTAAGAGAATTATACCCATGATGATATGTAATTGATTAATGTTAGGAACAGAATGCTTGAATCAGGTTCTCTAGCATAGTTCTCTTCCTGAAGAGAACTATGTTAGTGCTTACTTCAAAGAATTTCAACAGAAAGAATGTGTATTTTCACTGATTGTTATAGCAGAAGGTGATTATGTATGGTACCAATTCAGACTAGAGCAGCCGCCACATAATAATAATAAGTGCAACCTCTTGGCACAGACAGATTATTTACACAGACATAATCAAGTAGCAAATATAATACACTAAGAGCTTGCAAACAAACACAAATTATTAGACATCCACAAACCATACTACAAATACATTCCACAGGCAGGATTGGAAAACAACATGCACAAAATGTATTACGACAGAGCCATAATCACAGATAAAACAATTTACCACAACAGACAATAAAAATTACATACATTATAGACATATCCATTCCAAACACTCACAATATACAATACACATTCATTGAAAAAATTAGGAAGTACACAGAACTCGTCCAGGAAATAAGGCATCTGTGGAGGATGGAAAGGGCACTTATTGTACCTGTCGTTCTCTCCTGTACAGGTGTGATACCACACACACTACACAAAAGCCTGGAACATTACAATTGAATAGAAATACATACATCACACTACAGAAGGCCACTATATTGAATACATGCCACATTGTTAGGAAATTCCTGAATACAGACACACACTCATTTAATTTTAGTCTTTGGTTGTGTACTAGTCTTTGGTCTTTGATTGATACTGGTGGCTGTGTACTATGCCTTGACTTTGGTCTGGCATAGTACACAGCCACCAGTATCAACCGAGTATAACCCACTAAATACTGTATAATAATAATAAGGAAAGAATGAACCTTAGAGGATATAAACTTTGTGCAGATTTGAATTTTTTCTTTATTTCATTGTTGTTGTTTAAATATCTTCTAAAATATTATGTAGACTTACAGTGTAATAATGTAGTTTACTATTTTAAAAAAGAATAAATTACTGTTTACTTTATAATTGTATGTACGCTAAACTGTGTTGTGAAAAAAGTACAGAAAGCTAATGTGGGCTCTTTTTAGAACATTGCATGGAGACCCACTCACATGTAGTTACACACTGACAGTAAGGAAGAATGCTCTGCAGAAATGCAAACTTTAATTATGTCATACTTAATATCTCAATAAGTATGCTTAATTGTATACTGTATTTTATATTCTGTAATCGATTATATTTAGATTAATAAACATTCAATAGTTTAAAATTACAGTAAAACTTAAATATAGCGTAAGATGTGAATCATTCAACCAATTTTTGTATTACAACTTTAGAATGAAAATATTCCATTAATGAGACATAAATAAAATGTTTTAATGAAAATATTTTATAACAAACTGTTTTAATAAGTCCCTTGAATTTTGTTATATTGGGTTTTCACTATATTATTAAAAATAGAATGGTTATAATAAAAATAAAAATACCTTAATTTTCCACTTTGTTTTATTTTATAGATATAAATTCTACACCTACAGTTTGTCATTTTTGTGGAAAATAATTTCCACAACTAGATATTAAACAACTATATGTTAGAAATAATTAAACAACTAGATATTATTGATAAATAAATAATCCATTAAAATTAATTAATAAATTCTAAAAAATTTTTCCTTAAAAAAACCTTTAAGAAATACAAGTGAATTCACTTTTTAAATCCGACTTCGATAGAGTTTAAAAACAGAGAAAGACCAGAAAATCACTTTCACTAATTCTTACTTTATTTTTCTATTTTTATCCAATTTTTTATCCATATATATTTCGCTTGTCAGCCTCATCAGTGGATATTACATTGTTACGTTGCCAGTACTTTTATACTCTATCAAGCTATCCCAGCATGCATTAACACATGCGCCGGTATTTAAATTTATACAATTTACATGTCCTTTAATACAATAATGTTCTATGATGCGTCTTTTTACAAGATTTTTTACTTTATACAATATTTTAATATTATTTCGGTCAATAATACAATTTGTTATACTGCAGTGTTGTTGCCACGGGGATTCTGTTCTATTTAGTCGGATTGCCGCTTCATGCTCTTTCAGCCTCACTTCCAGTTTTCTTCCTGTTTCTCCAATATAGTATTTCCATTCTGTACACGTGCACATCAACTCATATACGACTCCTGCTACTTCCAAAGGATTCTTCAATTGTATCTCATTTGCTTTATTAATCAAACAAATGCTTTTGTTTAATTTATTTCTCTGTTCACCTACTAAGTTGACAAAAAATAATTCTTTAATATAAATTTTATATTTTTCATAAAATTTTGAAATGTACGGAATTTTAATATATAAATTTTCTATTTTTCTATTTTTGACATTATATCTATTATTAATATACGTAATATACCACCTATGTATAAGCTGTTGTGGGTAATCATTTAATAAATATTTTTTAAAAAGATTCTTAGTCTCTATTTCAATATATTTTTTTAATGTTGTTCTATTAAATATTTTCTTTAATTCCATCAAAAAAACGTTTCGTTTTATTCCTATAGGACAATATGATTTATATTTAATCACCTTATTATTATTACATATTTTTTCATACTTACGAAACAACAATGTTTCATTTTGTCTTGTAATTATTACATCTAAATAATTAATTTCATAATTTCTTTCTTCTTCATAAGTAAATTTAATGTTATTATTTAAACTATTTGCATAATTCTTGATGTTTTCAGCTGTGATGTCATTTGAGTCGTACAAAATTAATATGTCATCCACATATCTAGTATAAAAAACAATACATTGAAACTGGAAGATTTTTTCATCTAATGATGTCATACAAATATCTGCAAGTTTTGGGCCGATTACTGATCCCATTGCAATCCCGTCTCTTTGACGATAATATTCTGTAGAAGTTTTAAAATAATTATTTTTAAAGGTAAACTGAATAAATTCTAAAATGTGACAAGGTAAATTATATTTACTTAAACTTTCTATAATAAAATTCCAATTTATTGAAGGATACATAGATTAGGAATCTATAAGATTCTTTACTTTGACCTTGCATTAATCTTGAGATCAATTGATCTGCATTGTTTATGGTATATTTAGAGTCGGGTATACACTGCAAATAATCTTTAATATAATATTCTAAACTATATAATACTGAAAATTTAAAATCCACTAATGGTCTAAAATTAGTGGAATATTCCACTAATGGTCCATTAGTGGAATATTAAGTTGTGGAATACGTACATTATTAAAGTTTACGATCTTCTTAAATTCTTGGCTTGTAAATTCCTTTCTATATGTTTTCATTAATTTAATTAGTTTCTTTTTAATGTCAATATATGACATATTAATTTTGTACGACTCAAATGACATCACAGCTGAAAACATCAAGAATTATGAAAATAGTTTAAATAATAACATTAAATTTACTTATGAAGAAGAAAGAAATTATGAAATTAATTATTTAGATGTAATAATTACAAGACAAAATGAAACATTGTTGTTTCGTAAGTACGAAAAAATATGTAATAATAATAAGGTTATTAATTATAAATCATATTGTCCTATAGGAATAAAACGAAACGTTTTTTTGATGGAATTAAAGAAAATATTTAATAGAACAACATTAAAAAAATATATTGAAATAGAGACTAAGAATCTTTTTAAAAAATATTTATTAAATGATTACCCACAACAGCTTATACATAGGTGGTATATTACGTATATTAATAATAGATATAATGTCAAAAATAGAAAAATAGAAAATTTATATATTAAAATTCCGTACATTTCAAAATTTTATGAAAAATATAAAATTTATATTAAAGAATTATTTTTTGTCAACTTAGTAGGTGAACAGAGAAATAAATTAAACAAAAGCATTTGTTTGATTAATAAAGCAAATGAGATACAATTGAAGAATCCTTTGGAAGTAGCAGGAGTCGTATATGAGTTGATGTGCACGTGTACAGAATGGAAATACTATATTGGAGAAACAGGAAGAAAACTGGAAGTGAGGCTGAAAGAGCATGAAGCGGCAATCCGACTAAATAGAACAGAATCCCCGTGGCAACAACACTGCAGTATAACAAATTGTATTATTGACCGAAATAATATTAAAATATTGTATAAAGTAAAAAATCTTGTAAAAAGATGCATCATAGAACATTATTGTATTAAAGGACATGTAAATTGTATAAATTTAAATAGTGGCGCATGTGTTAATGCATGCTGGGATAGCTTGATAGAGTATAAAAGTACTGGCAACGTAACAATGTAATATCCACTGATGAGGCTGACAAGCGAAATATATATGGATAAAAAAATGGATAAAAATAGAAAAATAAAGTAAGAAATAGTGAAAGTGATTTTCTGGTCTTTCTCTGTTTTTTAAACTCTATCGAAGTCAGATTTTAAAAAGTGAATTCACTTGTATTTCTTAAAGGTGTTTTTTAAAAGAAAAATTTTTTAGAATTTATTAATTGTAATAGATATTATTGATTTCTCTATTAGACCATATTTAAATTAAGTGGAAATCTTAGTCACTGTTCATTACTTTTTTATCTTGTATGATAGTCAACTCTAGTAGTGGTACAAAAGACATTGATGACACAGCAGTATATTCAGGAAATCCTTCACTTTCATATGATGCCTTTTATTGCAGTGCTAAAAGCAGTCATTTACCAGTAATATAATGCTCCATTGCACACAATTAGGATTTCTCAGGAATGAATTTGTTACATTGTTGCCTTTTCAGCAGAAGGGATACCAGTTTTGGCTATCTATGAGTTTGAGGGATCTGGAGTGGCATTTGAAACATTTATTGCAGGAACAGCATAGGTGTCTGTATACCTCTATAATCAATTAAATTGTTGCATATATCTAAAAAGAAAAAGTTCTACATGGTACTAAAGTTTTCTTTAAATTATACTATTGTTCCACAAGAAATTGACCCATTTTTATGATATTGTAATTATTTATGAGCATTGCTCTTATATTGCCATAAAGTTTTATTCAATTTAAATATTTCCTTCTTGGTCCTTAATATTTTTGTTAATGAATGTATCATGTAAAATATTTCTTTTATTCCATTATATAATAATAGTGTATTCTTCTGAAAGCTCAAGAATCTTCATAATGTATTAGTGGATCATAGTTTTTCAAACAGGTTAAATAAAAAAATCATATTTATTGAATTTCTCTTTTTCTTGTAGTCTACTTATGTTTCTTTTCATTCCTTAATTTAGATTGTTTCAAATTTAAAGAATAATTAAACTTAGTGCAGTCATAAGAGCATATGAATAAATATTTTGATTCTATTTAGAATATTAGATTTTAATTCTTAGTTATAAATATTTATCATAAAACTAACTCATTGTCATATTTAAAACAGATTGCATTAATTTTATAATGTTTAAAATTTGAATAAATAAATTTTTTATAAAACAATACTTATTGATTCAATAATTTTTTACAAATGTTAATTGAGCTTTTAATAATTATTTTTTCATTATCTGAGAGTATGAAAAAATAAGCAAAAATATTAATAAAAATTTAATTAATTATATTAATTAAATTATTATCAATATAATTAAAAATATATTACAGGTACTGAATATGGCCCAACAGTCGAAACTGTGATTCATGATCCTGAGACTTTAATTCGGATGCCTGTTGGCTGTGGAGAACAGAACATGATGTACATGGGTCCAACTTTGTACACATTGCGATTTTTAAAAGTTAAAGGAGATGTGACACCTGAACGAGAAGGAAAAATTTATAACTTCATTAGAGAAGGTAAAAAATTTTTATAATAAATTATTTATATATTTTTCTATAAATCTATAAATTATTTGTGTATATAGACATTTTCAAAATGTTTATATTTCTAATGCTCTTATATTAGAAAATTGCTTGTTTTCATGTTTTTGAAACCATGTCATACTTCACTTATAAGAGTATGCTCTTATATGTGCCAGCTTGTTTTGGTTTATAAGAGCACTGCAATGCTGTATCAATCTAAATTAATGTAAACATACTGATACAGTAATTATTCAGTAACTTCTCTGTAGTAACTATTATTAAAAATAAAAAGCCAAAATAAAATATGCTTCTGATACTATACAAATTCTTCTAAATATTGAGATTTTTAGATACTTTATGGAAATGTAATGCTGATTTTGCTGCATCTATAAGAGCATACTATTATACGCATGGTAAGTATGTGATTTGGTATTAGCTAGACCGAGGTCAACAAGTCTACAACAAACAAACAGTCGGCTTACAGATTTACCTTTATTTATAACAATTACGTGCTCAGCAAACTGAGGGTTCATGTGAACTTTTCTGAAAAACTCCTTTACATAGTCACATGTTCTGAGAAAAGCAAAATGCTCACTGCAAAGCATATGCGAAGCAGGGTTAATTAAAAGAGGAGTACCTCAAGCCAGTAGCATTTAATGCTACAGGTCAGAGGGAGTGCTCCACTAAATGTAAAAAAAAAAAAAAAATGTAGTCACATGTTCCAATTACACATAACACTCATACCTTCACTCTCCTTCTTCCTTCCTTAACACATAACAAGGTTTGCACTAGTTTTACATTAACATGGAAGTTAAAATGAGAACAACCTTCTCACGGAAATCCAATGCTTAAACAATAATCTCTAACCGACAGCTATCGCATTTGGAGACAAAATAATTGTTTGTGATGATACCTCAGGTGCTCTAACTTCTTTATTGACTCTATACACTCTGTTATTTTCTTATACACCACAGATGGAATTGGATTCTATTCCCTTTCCCTTCTCCAATGGCTGAACGGGTCTTCTCTTCTTAAACCAGTACTTTCCTGATATTCCTCAATGGCGCCTACACAAAAAGATGCTGTTTCACATCTGGACCTGCTATTTATACCCATTCTTGCTGCTCCCATGTGATCTCTTTGGTAACCAATCAAAAGATCCGTCTACACACACCATGAAAAGAAGGTACGGAGTGAGAAAGACACGTGTCAAACACGAACAACAAAACAAACAAAGAAAAACAAAAGAAAACTTGATACAATAATGAACATAATAAAACTAATGTGAACTAAGTACAAAGGATAATTATATATATAAATAATATATACATACACTTCACTAAACAACCACCAATAAGTGGCGGAGCACTACATATGTGCAGTATGGGCATTACAAATATGAATAAATTAGGTATCATTTTGTTATTTGACTAAACAATTCATTGATTTAAAAAAATACAGGATGATTCTTTTGGGTGCACTCCTGCACCTGGAAATACATGGTGAACCCCATAGTTTTAAACTATTCTGTAAAATCCATTTGTTCAGGTATATGTATCAGAGAATGTTTGCCAATATTCCAAGTTTCATATGCATATGCTTGAAAGGACCATGTGGTGATGATCTGGATCTCTGTTACCATGTGGTCTAGATCAGTGTTTTTCACCCGTTGGTCTGCAAAAAGTTTTACTGGTCCACAGAAAAATATTTGACCACACTGATACTGATGCAGTTGATTTTGAATGACATTTAAAAAGTAACCTAGAATTACTGTATATATTTTGTTACTTACAATAAATCTAGATTATCATAGATAAGTGTAATAAATAAGCATAATTCATAGATGCACATAATTATCGGTCCACATAGAATTATCCATAATTTTACTGGTCTGTGATGAGAAAAAGTTTGAGAAATACTAGTCTAGATCATTGGACTGGTTGATGCAATCCAATTTCTTGACCTATTTCTGACATTACCCCCTTTGAACTCCTCCTTTGTGGGATTGTCAAGGATCATATGTATGATAGAAAAGTGCCAGACATAAGAGCCTTGCATACAAGAATTGTGGATGCAATTAATAATGTGATTCCTGACATGCTGGCTTAAACATGGGCTGAAATTTAGTACAGATTGGGTATCATTATATGTGCCAGAATAGGCGCACATGTGGAAATATACTGTTAATGTAGTTACAAACTTTTTCATATGCACTTTTTGTTTCCCATTGTCTACAGTACTGTACTTGAGTTTCTTTTCTTAATTAATTCACAAAATTAGAGAGGCTTGAGAGGAACACCCTGTACATATATTCATTACCTAAAGTTTAAAAGGCATACTCAAGTCATTAAATTTGATAATTTATAATTTTGTTTCAGAGGGAATACTTATACTTCATAATATAATGAACACAAAAAACTGGATAATCACTAACAAAACACATATTACTTACTGGAGTTTGGTTTAATATGTAAAACTAGCTGTTACTCGCAACTTTGCTTGTGCGGATTTTGCAAGCAAACCCCATTTATATTCGGTATTTCAACAACCATAGTAATTGTTATATAACACCTACCACTGAGAATGATGAGAATTGCTGAGAATCAAACAAACTATTTTCAATTTGATCAATTTTCTGGAACGTTTACAATCTTTCTATAATCAAACCAATATGCAATAACAAATTCAAATTTAAAACGGTTTGAACATTTGGTTACAAAATCAAAATATATAAAAATATTTATAACAATGTCTGAAATGCTATCAAGTTAATACACCTAAGTACTCAATGAAAACTAAACATAATTGAAAACAAAAAATCACACCCCTTCTTAGTGTGCATTCTCTTGGTGTACGCTACTAAAACATAGTTAAAAATAAAAAATTACATCTAAAATAGTTGCGAGGGTCGGACCGAATAAAATAAAATTAAATAAAGAAGCTCAAATTAAATTAAATATCTTTATTAAATATCTTTATTAAACAAGGAAAAACTTCATTTTTCGAAATTTTACGAAAAAGGATATACACATTTCCTTCCCATGGAGCCATTTCCTATCTCTCAGGAACCCGAAAAATGATTCATGAGGAACTTATCTTAAAAATCGGCGATTGGCAAAACCCAGTAATGTGACGAAAGGTATAAAAGAGGGGCGATGACGAGAAAAAGGGATCTGTCGTTGCCATCCATGAACACTGTCCGTCATCACTGTTCGTGATCGCTGAAAACCCGTGCCAATCCTCATCGCCGTTGTCCGTTCCTCAAGACAACTTGTCCAATCCGGTTAGAAAACGTCCAATCGTCTGATCCCCTCCTCGTAGAGGTATGGCAAGCATTAATGTAAACTCTCTCTCGGAGCGTTTCCCTCCACTTCTGCGTGTCCGCTCGAGATAAGCTCAATGTATATATGTTAGTTATGTTATCGTCTAAATAAATGTTTGTTTTGTTGATAAACGTCGTCTTTACTTCAAGTATCACTCACACGTCATATCGACGACCCCTCTCACCTCCTCCACTCGACCTGACAAAAGAAATTCCGACTTTCCGGGATAGAAAAAAAACCATAAACAAGCCATCCACTGACCAGTGGGCAGTTCTCACCAATCTGTTGCCTATCAAAAAGAGGTATGACGAAGTCATACCTCAGGCTACCCACATAGTACAGTAGAAGCCATTCTTCAGGTTATACCTTAATTCTCTTCCTCTCCCCCATGGGGGAATTTCGAAAAATTCCTTCTTAGTGTGTGTTTTCATGACGTACCCTAACTGTGTACAAAATTTCACTTCTTTAGGTTCAGTGGTTTGCTCTGGGTGATGATGAATCAATCATTCAGTCAGTCAGGACAAATAATTTTATATATTTAGATTTACTGGTAAATAAATGTTTTAGAAATAAAATAGAACATAACATCAAACATCAATCTTTAAATGATGGTGAAACATTGTCTGGTCATTGCTACAGTGATATAGAAAAATTAAAATGGAATCTCAAATAAAGATCGTTAGGCCTGATGTAGGGTGTCAGTATCTATAAAATTAATTGCAATATTTTTCTTATATGCTTTATATATTTCTAATATTTCAAGGTGCTTCAGGAATGGAAGTTCTCTGGCTGAATGTAGAAGTTGAATGTAGAACATTAGACTTGGGTGTACCCAAGTCTAATGTTCTACATTGTGGGTCTAGCTGAACTCATGACAGACATAAAGAAAAGGCCTTCTTCCTTTTTCCCTGCCTTAGCCCTCCTAACCACAGAACACAAGGCACTTGGATCTAATATTCTGTGGTTAGGAGGGCTAAGGCAGGGAAAAAGGAAGAAGGCCTTTTCTTTATGTCTGTCATGAGTTCAGCTAGACCCACAATGGGGGTGGCCAGATGGTGAGGGACAGAGCTTGACATATTCTTGACAGATTGCTCCTGAAAAATTTGCAGGATTACTCACTCAGATTTGATGTCATGTTTCTTGTAGCAACATGCTGTTCCCTTAACCTTTCCCTTTTATATGTATATATATATATATACACCATATTTACTTGAATATAAAACAATCTCGCATATATGACAAGGTGTGACTTTACAGACTGAAATAAAGAAAATTTGATTTATTAATACAATTCTAATTTTATTTCAAATAAAATATCAAATGCGCATAAATGCACACATTGTCCCACAAAAATTACTGGCATCTTAAACTTAAAGGAAAAATCTTGTAAAATCGACAACATAATTTGTTCACGTAAAGCTGGACAATTGGGAACCTTTTTTTGCCAATTCTTAACAGTCAAATTCACTCTTCGTCAATTACACTTATGAGTTTCTTCAAATTTCCAAATAATCATCTGTTTTCACATGGGAATGGATTAAAACTTATATTGGGCTCCTGTGTAATTTTGGAATTCAATTCAAAAGCTTTGCTTTTCCTATTGCTATTCATCTTTAATCCTGTCAATATACAAAAATGATTCAAACGACCCAGATAAAATACTTTTGTTTTTAAACGTCAGAAGGTGAGAATCCGGTAAAATATGCAAATACATAGTTTACAAAAGTTATACAAAAACAAAAGGAATCCTTCACTCACACATATAGGATAATCTAGGTTTTTGAAGCAGTGAAAAATGGATAAAAACCTCATCTTATATGTGAGTAAATACAGTATATATACACATCAATTTTTAGCTGGAGCAGTAATATGTAATGAATTTAATAAAATATAAATTTAATGATTTAACTTTACTGTTACAATTTAATGAATTAAGAAAATCTTGAATTCAAACATGGTTGCTATATAAATGCATATTTCATGAATAAAAAACAATAAGCAATAGAGATAGCAATGTACAGACAAAGTGTATTTTATCATCATATTTTGCACATATAAGAGCATGCTCTTATAGATGGTAGCAAAATTGGCACTAGGCCTATATTCCATAAAATACCAAAAAAGAAAAATCTATTTTTTAAAACTTTTATTGTATTGGAAGCATTTTATTTGGCTTTTTATTTTTGTCAATGTATTACATTAGTACAAATACTGTACATTTCATTTGCTCATTGCTCTTATAAGTGAAGAAGGACATGTTTCAACAAACATGAAAACAAGTGATTTTAACATAAAATCATGCTCTTATTTGTGCAAAAATATGGTATTAGATTCATCAGACGGTGTCATTATTTTTATGATAGAAACAGTAATATATTGATTGTTATGTTATAATAATGTTTTTATTCAACTGTACACTTTTTTACATTTTTGAATTTTAGGTTATAATCGTCAACTTACTTATAGAAAAGAAGATGGTTCTTATGGTGCTTGGATTCAAACACCATCCAGTACTTGGTAAGTAATTCCAATAATATCTAAAATGATTAAAAATTAAAATTATTTGTAACAACAATCAATAAAGAAATTGCAAATGTGAAATTCTTTTAAGTAAACATTATTTGTATAAAGGGATGTTAAGGTGAAAATGAACTCATATTTATTGAACTAGTGTCAATTATACAACTATAAATTAATCTTTTAGAATAGATTTAACTTTTGATTGAGAAAATAGATAATTCTATGTGAATTCAAAAGATATAGTTTTGATTTATTCTCAAAACAAGTTTTCATATGGTATTTTTTAAATTTAAATAGGAATAGAAACAAATAGAAAATATTTAAAAACTTTACATAGTGTAACATTATATTTTCATTTGTTCATTATTTCCTCCAAAATTTTCCTATTTGTTTTAAAATATATTATTTTGAATGTAAGAATACTCTCACTTTTGAAAAGAGAATTTTTCAGAGAAAGTAAATTATAATTTAAAAGAATATATTAAAGAAAATTACAATATGAAGAAATTCTATTACACTGATAAAGGGTGTAATAGAATTTCTTTTGAAGCTGGTTTTGAAGCCATTTTTTTTAGGAATATTGTGAGACTACTTTTTGTGGCATGACCTTCAGTGGATGAGTCTACATGCATCTTTTTTCTATCTGTTTAACTGTAGAAACTTAAGTTTGAATATTTCTATTTTTTAAATTGTTTGTATACAGTTTATGCTTGCTTGCTTCTCCAGAAATGATTATAGTATTTTGAATTTCAATTTAGAAACATGAAAAAGTACATCTTAAATTGGAAGTAAGTTATAACACTGTATTTAATATATTGAGCAACAGTGGCTCAGGGGATATGATATTTAAATATCTTATGGGCTGGATTTTTTCCTCCTTGTTCTGAATATACACAGACAACTCATAAGTAAATAGACACCCTGAATGTCAGCAAATGAATGGGGCAATACACTCTGAAAAACACATTGCCACATTCATCATCCAATATTCTCAAATGGGCCAATGGATAAAACATCCATTCTGTTTATGGAAAATGGAGCTCTATCTCACACTGCCAAAAAGACCCAGAATTGGCTGACATCACAAGGCATCCTCAAGCTTTCATGGGTCAGTCAGTCACCCAACACAAATCTCTTCTTTTCCAGCCTTGGAAGCTGTTGAATGTGCTGGAAATGATACTCTAAATATCATATACCATATTTATAATCACTTAGTGTTTCTGTGTAGTTTGTGTTAGTAAAGTTTATCAATATGTTTTCTATCAATTGGATAAATAGATAAGAAAAACACACTTTTAAAAATCCAGAAAATAAATTTGCTACTAAAAACATTTTTGATCGGTTTAATGAAAAATTTAAAAATTTGAAAAAATAATAATGTTGTCTTCAGGAACTTTGTCAAAATCCATAAAAACCCTACTTATATGCTACTGAATAGAACAGCGCTGAAAAGCGGCACTACTTGACACCAGTACAACGATGCAGTAAGACAGCATGGTCATGGGACGAGTCCAATGGTTTGAGTTGCCTTGCTTTGGCACCTATAGAAACTATGGTGAAGGCTCCTTATGAACTTTCTCTGTTGTTAGCCCACAAGAAGAAACCCTATTCTGACAGAGAGGAGATAATAAAAAATTGTTACCCACCTGAAATCCAAATCGAAATTATTGACCTACAGCATCACACTACACTGAAAAACAACTTATTTTAACTGCAAGTGATCCAAATTATATTGAATTTTTGAAATTTGTACCAACAAGCAATTTTCCAAATTTACACGATTTGGCTGTCAGTTATTGTTGTAGGTTTGAATCAACATATGTATGTGAACAAATGTTTTCTATTATGAACATAATGAAATAAAATATCGTTCAAAATTAACTGATATGCACCTAAAACACCTAATTTTGTTAGCATCTTCAAAACCTAATCCTAATGTAGATGACTTGGTAAAAAAAAACTATAAATTCAAAAGCCATATTACTTAGAATTAAATGTTTCATGTTATTCATTTTTATTTTATACATAATCTAACTGACTGAACCTTTAAAAATGTTTATTAACAATAAAACTTGTTTGTATTTTTGTTTTATTTATTATATTATATTTTTAAATTTTCACTACTCAGACTTACATGAAAAAAAGTGCTATTTGCATAAAAATCCCATAATCAGCCTATAAATAACATTTTTTCACTTTTTATATTTTTTAGTATGTTGGAAAAGTTGGAAGTGACATGCATAAGTTTTTTTCAGATAGTGGCACTCTTCCCAAAAAGGTTGGCCACCCCTGGTTTAACCAATCCTCCTCAGTTAAGATGAAATAGAAAATAAAGTGTAAATTTAAAAATAAATGATGAACCATAATTCTAAAATAAATACATAACTGAAATCATAGTTGTGAATAATAAATAATAATAAAAAAATACAGAAATGAAATAAACAATGAAAAGTGAAAATAGACGAATAAATGTTCCTTAATAAAATTAACTTTTATGAAAAGACTGCCATGCGGTAGTCAGCGTCTCTATTATGTTTGATGCAACTGGTTTTTGTATGCTTTAAAAATTTCCAATCTTTCCAGATATTTCATAGTATTTATATTTGATGTTGGTTTGATGATCGATGCCTGCTCCCATTGCACATGAATGTCCTGATGGTGTGTGTAAGCTGCCAGTGTCATGCTATCGAGATTTTTATCAATTGTATACTTATGTTGTTTGAGCTGTTGTTGTAAGTTGCGCATAGTGGCACCACGTAGGCCAGTTTTGATTTGAAACATTGGTTGATTAATGGGATGGAGTAATTCTTCACAGCCAAATTATGGTTATATGGTTTTTTATCATTTCTTAAAATTCTGAATATCATTGGGTTGCGTCGATATACAACCTGGAGATTTTTAGCTCTGGCCGCTTTCCTATGTATTCCTCTTAAAAAGGGAAAATAATTAAAAACCACTCTTTGTTTCTGGACCCCTGATGCATTCTGATGTTTTGCTGTTTGAAACATTGCAATTAACTTTTGAATCATTTCTATTGGATAACCCTGTTGTTCTGCAATCTTTAAGACATAATTCAGCTCTGTTATGGTGTCACTTATGCTGGTACAATGTGTATATGCCCTTCTTATCAAGGATCTGAAGGCTGCCAATCTGATTTGGAGAGGATCCACAGAGTTATGCGGAATTGAAATGAGTTGAAAACAAGGTTTCCTGTATACCTTGGTCCAAATTTTGCTATTTTTGCAAGAGATGGAAATGTCTAATAAGTTTATAGTTGTTTCACTCTCCTGGTCTAATTGTAGGAATAATCCGTAGAGTTTATCATTGATCTCTTTTAAAAATTGCTGCAGGTTTGGTTTTCTCTGCCACAAGATGAAGATATCATCAACATATCTAGCATATAAGATAATAAGGTGTTGGAATTTGGGTAGAATTTTGTTTTCTAATTGTTGCATCACCCGCTCACAAAGTATTGTTGATGTGGACTGCCCATGGGTACTCTTCTTCCTTGTAAGTATACTTTGTTCTCAAATTCAAAGAATGATGTATAAGATACAAGATTTGCTAGCTCCGGTATATGATTGTGATGCTTTTGTGCATCATGATGTTTGTAAACAGGAAGTCGCTTATAGCATAAAAACAAGGAGGTATTTTTATAGATGAATACATCGATTTGAAGTCCAAGACCGTCATGTATTCCTTGTCCACCAGAGAAATGGTATTCAGATGTTCTATCACTTGCAGCGAGTTGTTAACTGAAAGTGGATGGTAAGTAGCCTTAGCATGATAGAATTTGACCAGCTGTTTTTCGATCAAAAATGTTGGAGAATTACATTTCTCAATCACTGGACGTATTTGATTTCCCGGCTTGTGNACAGAATCTTTTCTGACAGAACAAATATTTCATTATAATGGTTTGTTCTAATAAGGTTTTTGGTTATGTTTATGACATTTCAGAAATTTTTTTATGTACAAATGATCATATTTTTCATATTTTTTTGAGTGATAACTAATAGTGTTTTATAAGCTTTAAGAAATGTTGGAGAATTACATTTCTCAATCACTGGACGTATTTGATTTCCCGGCTTGTGTGTCTTGGCGATTGCAAAAATTCTTGGTGTTTTTGGTACATGGACTATGGAGCTGTGCATATGTAAAAGTCATGCCAAGGGAGTGGTGGTGAATCTTTTAACCCTTTGCTGTAATGATTCTAAAAAGTTGATGGGTGCTAGCTGGCATTCTGTGGTTTTAACATATTCTTTTAATTTCTCATTGTAGGTTGATCGTTTGAGCAACATTACTTCTTTTGATTTATCTGCTTTCATCAGAACTATGTTATTTTGTTCCAACCATTGGCATGATTTGTGTATAACATCTCGAAAGTGTCACATGTCCAAATCATTGCTTTTCTCATGTGCTATCTGGAAATTGGTTTTCCAACAAAAAAAAATCTTGACGTGTGTCATTCATTTCTTTAGTGATTAATTCAATGTCTTGTATGAAGGTTTTTGGCAATGGCAAAGGGTTAGGAGCATAAAGAGGACTGAATTTTAAGACATCCAAAATGCATTGTAGGGATGCGATGTCGTCTTGTGCTGTGACTTAGGAGTTTCTGGCACCTCTTGGTTTAATATTTTGCATGCGGAAGATCCATTTTAGCTTCTGTATATATTTATGTTAAGTTCTTGTGACACACATTGATAAATTAACGACCCTGTCTTTCACTATAGATAGTAGTTTTGTGTCTTGTGCATAAACGATGTCTTCCATGTTTATCAGGCTATGTAACAGAGCACATGTATGGCATCTGGTTTTCCTCTTTTCTGAGGCACAGCTATTGCAGATGTGGGAGTAGCGAATTACATTGTACCGGTAACCGTATGCAATAAATAGACATTGGAAACACTCCATTAAGGCGGCACTGAGTAAGAAAATCTAATTTAGCCCTTGCTTTACATATTTTATGGACCAGTTTCCTATATTGTTTAGGCCGGCATAGCCATAGGTATATCAATATATTTTCTATCAACTGGATAAATAAATAACAAGAAGAACACACCTTTAAAAATCCAGCAAATAAATTTACTAATAAAAACATATTGGTTTAACCAATCCTCCTCAGTTACAATGAAATAGAAAATAAAATGTAAATTTAAAAACCAAAAGAAATGATAAAAAACTGTATAACCATAATTCAGCCATGGGGATTTACTTCATCCCATTAATCGACCAACATTTCAAATCAATACTGGTCTACAAGGGTGCCACTATGCACAACTTACAATAACGGCTCAAACAACATAAGTATACAATTGATAAAAATCTCGATAGCATGACACTGGCAGCTTACGCACAACATCAGGACATTCAGGTGCAATGGGAGCAGGCATCGATCATCAAACCAACATCAAATATAAATACTATGAAATATCTGGAAAGATTGGAAATTTTTAAAGCACACAAAAACTGGTTGCATCAGCCATAGAGATGCTGACAATTTGGCTATCGCATGATGGTCTTTTTATGACAGTTAATTTTATTAAGGGACATTTATTTGTCTATTTTCACTTTTTATTGTTTATTTTATTTCTGTAGTTTTTTTTTAATTATTTATTATTCACAACTATGATTTCAGTTATGTATTTATTTTAGAATTATGGTTTATCATTTCTTTTTAAATTTACGTTTTATTTTCTATTTCATCGTAACTGAGTAGGATCAGTTAAACCAATCAAAAATGTTTTTATTAGTAAATTTATTTGCTGGATTTTTAAAGGTGTATTTTTCTCGTTAGTAAAGTTTGTATTAAAAAAAGTAAAATAGCTGAAAAGTAATTAATTGTCAAGCACTACAATATGTTTTATTGTGTTGTTAAGCAACTGTAAATAAATTGAAAGTAAGATTATTCCTAATGTGCATGTATATAAAAATAATTGTTGTTAGTTCATAACAATTATTACTATTAATATGTCATAATTACATGATTTTGAACTGCCTTTTATTGTCTTAAATAAAATTCTAACTGTTTTATTTGTGTACCATAAAATTTACTTTAAAAAAATTTATTTTATTTGTAATATTATTCAATTAAAAGTGGATTTTTTTTATAGGTTAACAGCATTTACAATGAAAGTATTTTGTCAAGCCAATAAATTTATTTTTGTTGATGAAAATGTTATTTGTAGTGGAATTAAATGGTTAATTTCACATCAGAAAGATGATGGTGCATTTGAAGATGCTCATCCAGTTTATCACTATGATATGACGGTAAAACTTTTCATAAGTTAATATATTTATAAATATTATCCTTTTATTGTTTTTAAATTAATGCCTAATACAGAATCTTTTCTGACAGAACAAATATTTCATTATAATGGTTTGTTCTAATAAGGTTTTTGGTTATGTTTATGACATTTCAGAAATTTTTTTATGTACAAATGATCATATTTTTCATATTTTTTTGAGTGATAACTAATAGTGTTTTATAAGCTTTAAGTTCATATTTATTACCTCTGTCTGTACACAAAGTATATTCCTTTTTATTTTGAAGTCAATTCTGTGCTTTCTTTTCTCCATTGCATAGAGCAGTGGCTCCCTAAGTGTGCGCCAAGGCTCCATAAAGAGTAAACAAAAGTGCCACAAGGGCTTCAAAGCTAATGGAACTTTCTATCTAGACTAGATCATGCCCATAGCTTGTAGAACTTTCTAGAAGACTTATATAGCATACTATCAGACATTGTCAAAGTTTCGCAAAAGTTCTAAGTAGGTGGCGTGGCTAATATAAATACAGCATCACTTTGGTGAACCAGTTCAGTTCCTAAATAACAATCGAAGAGTAAACATCTGAGAAGAAAAGTAAACAGTTTTAAGACGCCCCGCTACTAGAGGAGTGCCTGCTTTGTTTCAATGTGTCGCTTTTGTATTTTCATATAGTCATAGGAAAGTGGAAAAATTTTTATTAAATAGGCAAGTTGACAGTTCAAGTGAGAGTGATCAAGCATCGACATGTGTTGGGGTAGCAAAGAAATTGAAATATCGTAAATATAATTATAACTATTTGAATTTTGGCTTTATTTCAGTAGAAGTAAACAATGAAGAGAGACCACCACAGTGAGTGCTGTTTAAAAATTCTAGTGCCCAAGTGTATGCTCCCAAGAAAGCTAAAGCAGTATCTTGAGACCAATCACTCTAATATGGTTGAAAAATCTTGCAAATTCTTTAGTAGGATGTTGCAAGATTTACAAAAGGAAAAAAGTGTGTTTACTAAACAAGCTTCAGTAGCAAGCAATGCACTGCTAGCATCTTTTAAGGTCTCATACAGAGTAATGAAGTGCAAAAAACATCACACCATCACAGAAGAACTTATTATACCGGCTGCTTTTGACATGGTTAATATTATGCTGGGAGAATTGGAGGGAAAATTAATTTCAAAGGTACCTTTGTCAAACAACACTATTAGTTGAAGAATCCATTATATAGCTCTGGATCTCAATGACCAATTAATAGAGAAAATGAAAGGTGGGCATTTGGTGTGCGACTTGATGAGGCTACTGACAGTAACAAAGACACACACCTTATTTGTTTTGTATGCTTCCTGGATGATAATATTATCATTGAAGACCTCCTGTTCTGCAGAATCATCATTGGAAGAGCAAAGGCTCAAGACTTATTTGAGATGCTTGATAAGTTTATAACCAAAAATGATTTGGATTGGGAAAAGTGCATCAGCATATGTACTGATGGAGCTCAATGAATGTCTGATTGCTATGGATGATTGCAGGTCTTATTCTCAGCAAAGCACCACATGCTATGTGGACCCGTTGTATCATCCATCGGGAAGCACTTGCATCAAAGTTGATGAGCTCTCAATTGAATTTGGTATTAGAATGTGTCATAGATGTAGTAAACTACATAAAAATAGGACACTGAAAGCCAGATTTTTTAAAAAGCTATGCATTGACATGGGAGCTTAACACACATCACTGCTATACTACTACAGTTCATGATGGCTTTCACATGGCAACGTCTTATCCCGTGCATTCAAGCTACATCAAGAAATTCACACTTTTTTACAAGAAGGTCATGAAAATTCCTGGTACTTTGCTGAAACTAGCATATTTGTGCAATATATTTGACAAGCTGAATTCCTTCAATCTGTCTCTGCAAGGCAATAACATGCATATTTTGAAACTTTTGGAGAAGGTTGCGGCATTTAGGAAAAAGCTGCAGTTGTGGATAAGGAAAATCAATGAGGATGGTGGTCAACATTGTTTCCCTGAATTGCACAAATATATGGCCTTTAATATAGTCATTGTTTCACAAGACTTGCTGTTCCTTTTCAAGGAATACCTCTCAAAGCTCAGTGACTGGTTTGCAACATACTTTGAGGAAGACAATGCCAAGAAATTTGCATGGATCCAAGATCCTTTTCGTGCTCAAGCTCCACCAGAATTCACTTCACAGGAAGAAGAGAGTCTAATTGAACTTTCTTGTGACAACAGCCTGAAAACAAAATTTGCTTTTTTCAATTTAGTGGAGTTTTGGATATCAATCAAAAATGAATATCCAACTCTGAGTTCAAAAGCTGTAACAATCCTCATTTCCTTTGCGACAATGTATTTATGTGAAGCCAGATTTTCAGCTCTAGCTGTCATAGAAAGCAAATATCGCTCAAAAATCGATGTGGACGAGAAATGAGAGTGGCGGTGTCAAACTTTATTCTGCATTTTGAAAAAATGTGTGGCGATCAGCAAGCTCACCCATCACATTAACTTACTTGTCATTGAAGGTTCTCACCATTTATTTCATATTATTTTTTTTTTTTTTCATATTTTAGTTTGATGGTTCTTGTGATTCAATTTTAATAAATGTGAGCTTCACATTGTGAGGTTTATCTTACGAGTTGTTTTTATTTTTGTGCCTGATTTATGTCATTGTACACATATTTTGACAAGGGCGCCAGGCAAAATAAGTGTGCCACAGACTAATAAAGTTTGGGAACCACTGGCATAGAGAATGCAAAGCAATCAAAAGATGTTTACTGTGTTGATGGCTGGATGACAGCCACCAACCCATTAAGAACGATAGACACTCGATTGTCCAGTTCAACCAACATTTAGACCCCCTACACAGGGAGATTGCTTGCCTTAATCGCACGAAGATTGCGTACAGGAGAACCGGCACTATTTACGACCTGCTGCGCAATGCCAAGGATGCGATAGCTCTCAACAGGGCTCCAGGGGTATACTCCATTCCCATCAGGGACGATAGATTTCATAGAGACTTAGTTTACATTGGCTCCACCATCTGCTCAACACAAAAACAGTTACATGAGCATCAATTGGATATTAAAAATAACAGGCACACCACCGCCTTGTTGGCCTACGTTACCAACCCTGAAATTCGGGCGGACTTCCAAAACACCAAAATAATCAGACAGGCATTTCATATTGATCACATCTATCACCTGGAGGCCTGGGAGATTTATAAAGCCAACATTGGGGGCACCTGCATCAACTTTAAAGACGAAGAAACGATTGCGCAGGCGTGGAGATACTTATTCAAAGAATTCAAACTGGGATAAGTGGAGGGGTGAAACGCGACACGCGCATTATTTACATCTCAGGTGTCATCGTTCCAACGGTCAAGAGGAAACACCATTTAGTCACCACCTGAAGCAGACCTCAGTGGAGGTCAAAAACGTTTGTGAAGATTGTTATAGGACACCACTGTTATAGAAAGGTTTTGTGGATTGTTGTTAATCAAGTAACTAGTAATAAAAGAGCTTTGGAATCACTGAATCCAGAAATCCCACTGCATGATATAATTCTTGTGGAAACTGTTTTGAACAGATTAAAGTGGCAAGACAGGCAAAAATGGGAGCTGAAGACTGCTGCTAATAAATTTAATTATTTGGAAGAACTAGTTACCTTCCTAGAAGCTAAGGCACAGGCACTAGAAATCATTGAATTTAGAAGCAATGCTAATTGTATAAAAGAAAACAAAACCAAATTAACTGTTGGTAAATCATTCACTACTAATGTGTATAGTGAAATTTGCAAATACTGTAATAAGTCTAAACATGTACTGCAAGAATGTAGACAATTCAATGCAAGTAGAATTGAGGAAAAGAAAAATTTTCTTTGAAGCAAGAATGTCTGTTTTTGTTGTTTAAAAGAGAACCGTGCATTTTCAAAGTGTAAGGCTAGACGTACTATTTGTAAAGGCAAACCTAATCAACGATTACATGTTGACAGTATTGAGTTGAGCAGTCCTACTCATTACTCTGTTAATTCTGGTATATCAAGTTACACTAGCATAAAGGGTAAATATATGACTAGTCCAAGTGCATTATTGCCCACTGTTTTAGTTGATGTTGCTGACAGACATGGAAAATTAGTCAAGTGTCATGGAATCTTGGACTCTGGAAGTCAAATGTATCTCTGGTTCATTGGTTAGGAAGCTTGTCATACCATTAACTAAGAATAAGTTTTCAGTGAATGGAATCAATGACATTCCTGCTGCTAAGGTTTTGCATACCTGTTTAATAAAAATTAGATCCAGAAACAATAGCACTGAATTTAAAGTTATCTGTGCTGTACTGAATAATATTACTAGTTTAGTGCCTAGTTCACTAATCTGTTATAAAGGTTGGAACTTACCATCCAACATTGTATTGGCTGACCCTGAGTTCTATAAACCAGGTGAGATTAATTTGTTATTAGATGCTGATATTTTCTTTGATGTTATTACTGGTCATACTATGCAGTGTTATGGCCACCCTACATTGCTCAGCATTCTCTTTGGTTATGTTATTTCTGGTCAAATACCAACTTATTGTTCTACTAGTTCGAGGAGTGTCATGAGTTGTATAAGTAAGTGTGATTTACTTGACAATCAACTTAGAAGATTTCGGGAACTTGAGGAAAAAAGCAAATTCCTCAGACTAAGGAGGACAAGTTTTGTGAACAACATTTTATAGAAAATACTAAAAGAAATTTTGATGGTTGATTTATTGTAAGGCTTCCTTTTAGATTAGCGGTAACTATAGGAAATTCCCTTGAACAAGCCAGGAAAAGAATGACTTTGCTAGAAAGAAAATTTGAATATAATAAAAAGTTGCACCAAGATTAATTAATTAAATACAGTTTATGAATGATATTCATGTTAGCAGAAAATTAATTAATTCTGCCAGTCTCAAGAGAGTTGAGCTCCATAGTTTTTGTGATGCTTCAGAACAAGCTTATGGTGCTTGTTTGTTCATCAAGTCCATATGTGATAATGATTCAGTTTTTTTCTTTAATTACATCTAAGTCTAGACTGGCTTCCATTAAGCAACAATCTCTCCCTAGATTAGAGCCATGAGGTGCTTTATTACTCTCTTGTTTACTGAAGAAAGTTTTGTCTTCATTAAAGTTAAGTAAAATTGAATCAAATTCACTTATGGTGTGATTCTACCATTGTTCATCTCCAGTTAAATTGAAAACCTTTGTTGCAAACAGGGTCTCTGAAATTCAGGATTACACTAATATTGTATGGTAGCATCATGTTTCTTCTATGGAGAATCCTGCTGATCTGATTACTCATGGAATGCTTCCACACCAATTATCTTCACTGGAACTATGGTGGAATGGCCCAAAATTTCTTATGCAAAAAATACCTGTTTATTAGTGATTCAACTGTTGAAAACTTCACATTGTCTAATGAATTACCTGAGTGCAAGACTCACGCCTCATATATTGCATGGTCAGCTCTAAATCTACTGGTCTTAGTGAAATTATCAAGAAATATTCCTCTCTGGATAAATTAAAAAGAATATATGCTTATGTATTAAGATTTATTCATAATAGAAATATTTCAGAAAGAAAGGTTGCCAGTCACCTTACTGTAGAGGAAATTGATACAGCACATATTACCATTGTATTAATGATACAATGGTATATGGAAGAATAGGAGGAGGAGTTTTGCTGCCTAAGGAAGGGAAAGGATATTCCTAATTCAAGTCCACTGAAACTCCTCTATCCTTTTATAGATGAAGATGGATTACTAAGGGTTGGAGGAAGACTTATAAATTCCAATCTTCCATATGATACAAAGCATCAAATAATTGTGCCATCTAAGCACTATTTTGCTGAATTGCTGATAAGAAAGAACATACACAATTACTTCATGCTGGCCTCCAATCTGTATTAGCATCATTGAGAAGAAAATTCTGGTTACCGTCTGAAAGAAACAGCGTGAAGGTGGTCTTACATTCTTGTATTACTTGTTTCAAGGTCAGAGCATCTGCTAATAGTCAACTTATGGGACAGTTGCCTAAGAATAGAGTATGTCTTGCCTTCCCATTTGAATTCTCTGGAATTGACTATGCAGGACTCATTAAATTGGGCTTTGTTGTAGCAATGCTGTTAGCAAGGCGTATATTGCCCTTTTTGTTTGTCTTGTCACCAAGGCTGTTCAAGAAATTGGTTTCTAGTTTGACTACCTCTGCCTTTATTTCTGCACTGAAGAGATTCATTGTCAGGAGAGGTAAATGTCATCAGATGATAAGTGACAATGCCACTAACTTCATGGGTGCAACTGCTAAAATAAAGAAATTTTTTTGAGACCCCAAGGTACAAGAATCTGTAAGGGAATATGGACTCAGTGAAGGGTTTGTTTGATTGGAAATTCATTCCTCTTCGAGCTTTTCATTTTGATGGTTTATGGGAGTCTGGAATTAAGTCCATGAAATCTCATCTAAAGAAAGTAATTGGTGAAACTATTCTAAACTTTGAAGAATTGCATGTTGCTGTCTCAAATAGAAGCGTGTCTAAACTCAAGGCCATTGTGGCCCCTTGTTGATGATCCATAATCTTTAGAACCATTAACCTCTGTCCATTTTCTTATTGGTCATCCTTTATGCTCTATTCCCAAATCTTCTCTCTTGTTCTTACCTGTTGGCAGACTTTTCAGGTGGCAGCATCTTCAACAAATGATGGAGCACTTCTGGAACAGATGGTCTACTGAATATATCAGCAAACTGCAGCACCGCAAGAAATGGTCAGACATTAAACCCATTCTTCGCCTCAACAACTTGGTGCTCATCAAGGAAGATAACACCTCACCATTATGTTGGAAACTTGGACAAATAATCAGACTATCTCCAGGACCCAACAGTCTGGTTCGAGTAGCTAAAGTTAAAACGGCCAGTGCTGAACCTGCAACACCCTGCTGTGAAGTTATGTTCACTCCCATTGAGTTCTTAAACTTTCTGTAATTGTGAGCCATAAAATGCCTTGAATATATTTTGATCTAGTAGATCAATGGGGGAGGATGTTCAGACCAGCAGATGATATTTATTTTATTTTTATTTTTCTTTAAATAAAAATGATTGTTAGTGTTCGTTAGGCCAGCATGCTTTTGCTATGTGCCTGATCTTGGTTTTGTGTTATTTCAGGGCTGTTCCCTGCATCTATGTATTACTTTGTTCAACTTCATTTTGTGAATCAACAAAATAAATTCACCAGCTATTGCTGGAGGTGTTCATTGCATTAATTTATAGTCCACTTCGTAATTAGACCCACAATAGAGGTTTTGGGGGAATTCTTTGCTATTTCTCAATGAGAGCGGCCACATGCTCCCCTAATTGTTTTGACCAGTGTATATAAAAGTATTTCAACTCTAATTTCATATTGATGTTTGAAAGTGTAAGAATAATTTATAGATATTTTTTATTGTTTTTAAGACAAATGTAAAATTTTAAAATCTTTTCTGTTCAATCTCTGAGTAAATTTTTATATTTTTATTTTGATTATTTAAATGAAAATATTTTTTGATATTTCTGTGAATAACATTTTCAAATACTGTCAATTTTAGTATAATTCTAAAATATTAAAAATAAATTCATAAAACATTATTTTCATAATACTTTTTCATTTATAGCAATTTATCACACAAAAGCCAAATAATTATATTTATTATTAATTCATTTTTATTTTTAAGGGAGGAGTTAGTGGAAGAATTCCAATGACTGCTTTTGTCCTTATTGCTCTTCAAGAATGCTCTTCTTGTGAAAGTGAGGTAACTACTCTTTTATGTAATATATTTAAAATTTTAACAATATATGATGTGATCATAAGGAAACCTAACTATTCTGTTATTCAGCAATAGCAAGAAGTAAAATCTTTTTGCTACCAAGGATCACTGACTTTTGACAAATTGGTCAAGTAGTGTTGAGTTTTTTTAAACCAGAATGCTTGCTATAACAATTTATAATATTGTGTTGCTGTGATGCCATGCTGCAATTTGAAAATGAACTTGAAAATTAAGCAAGGGTGGATGTTACATTCTGTATTAAACTTGGAAAATCTCCACAGATCCACTTGAAATGTTTTGAGAGGCCTATGGCAATGTAACGTTGGGTGAGAACACAATCTCCAAGACCCAGAAGGCAAAACAAGTCAGAGTGGAACAAAGAGCATGTTGATTTTTTTTACCATGAGAGGATTGTTTGCTAGGAATTTATTCCTTCTGATCAGGCAATGAATTCAGATTTTTACTGCAATGCTTTGAGGCAGTTATGTGAGGATATTCATTACAAAAGAACATCCTCAGATAGTTTGTAACACTAGAAAGTGATGCAGTTGAACTTGGCTCCTTTGTCATTACAATGCTTCTGCACATACCCTTCAAAATACAAGTGTTTTTGGAAAAATCAACATAACAGTCCTCCCCACTGTCCTTATTTGGTCCCTTGTGATGTCTTTTTGTTCATCAGAATGAAATTGAAGTTTAATACAGTTGAGAGAATCCAGTCCAAACTGCAATAGGTGATTCAGAATTTTCAATACAGTACTTTCAAAGAGTATTTGGGACTTAGTAGAAGTGGTGGGGTTACTGTATAAATGCAAATGGGGCCACTTTGAAGGAAATGGCTGCCAGATTTAAATCAGTTAAGTTTCCAATTTCAAAAGACCAATTTCAGTTTTTTATTTTTATTGCACTTCAACATGAGTCAGAAGGAGAGAAAAATAAGTTAGGAGGTTATAGTATGGATTATTGTAAGCAAAAAACTTTATCACAACCATGGCTATTACAGTAGAGCGTCGATTTTCCGAAAGTCAATCATCCGAAACGTCAATCATCCGAAAGAACTAACTCCAGTCGGCAAATTTAAATTTTCACCAGTGCTGTGGCGCTTCAATCTTTGGCTATGTCTGTGGGCTACTCAAATGTCTTGGGCTACTATTTTTTAACATTATCAAATAATTTACATTTTTGATACTAAATTAATATTCAAAGTATAATTTTTATTTTTCAATGTATTTATTTTGTTTGTACAAAATAAAAAAATAATTTTTAACGATACAATAGTCTTTGTTAGGCTTAACATCGACGAAAATTCAACATGAAGCGACACACAACGGAGAAAAATTTCGAAATCAGATACGTTAAACTATTTTTTCATACGTAAATCAGTTATCCGAAATATCAGTTATCCAGACAACCCCAGTCCTCAATTGATTCAGAAAATTGACGCTCTACTGTATTTTCAATAGTTTCAGTGTCTGCTGTTTGGAAGTTACTCATATACAAATTTTAATATCATTCATTATTATTCTGTGTGAGATCAATTTTCAAAGAGCAGTATTTTTCAAACTACTAAGAAAAATACCCATGTTTGTATATTTTTAGCTTACAAAGCTCACCAAATTATTTCCCTCTCTTCCTGACTCACCCTGTACACATTCTTTCAGCTTTTGGTGAAATAAAAATAAACAGAAACCGAAATGCGCATGCGTACTTCATTGGACTTGCGTCTTCTGAAAATCTATAAATAACTTGCAAATAACAAAAAAATAATAATAATAAAGCCGCCCAAAAAAAGGGGGGAGGAGAATATATGTTGATTACAAAGTGTTAATCTGCGTTATTGTAAAAGGATTTCCAGGCATAAGATAACCCTTTTGCATCTCTATGATTAATGCGTCCCTTATTTATGTGTGCCTTGTGTATCTCTATCTTTTCAAGGTGTTTCAATGCCTGTCTGGAATTCGTGGCTCTAATGATCGAGGCTTGATCCCAATATACATCGACCTCTTGCTGTTTGGCAAATGCTGTGATCACTGTGGCATCTATGTTCTTACTCACAGAGTATTTATGTTCCTTTAATCTTTGTTTTAACTGCCGCGTAGTAGCACCCACGTAGTTATTTGCAAGTTATTTATAGATTTTCAGAAGACGCAAGTCCGATGAAGTACGCATGCGCATTTCAGTTTCTGTTTAATTTGTATTTCATGCGTTCTTTTTTTAGTGTTCTTTTAATAAAAATAAATTTTTTAAAGAATGTAAAATGAAAAGACAAACATACTTTAATAAATTTTTATTTTATCAGTGTATAATCAAATTTGTGATATGTACTATATGTACATTTTTTAACATTATTAGTTTTGATGTGTTTTTGAAGATAATTCTTATTTTTGGTATTATATTTACAGTATTATTAATTTTAACTACAGTATTATTATTATTAACTAAGAAATTTTTCAAATTTAGTTGTATAATTTAGTTACAATGGAACCTTGCTTAACGAGCATAATTCATTCTAGAATGTTACTGATAAAGTGAAACACTCATTAAGAGAAACAATTTTTCCCATATAAATTAATGTAAAATACAATAATGTGTTTCATTCTGCAAAAAATACTCATATATTTTATGTATATTGCCTCTAATAGTTTGAGGTGATCCTGACCTCAAACTATTAGAGGCAATGGAAATATTTAAGGCAGGATGCAAATCAACATGCATTAATTTTAAGGAGGCAATGTTGCTTTCTATGGCATGGCAAGTCCTAATGGACAATAATATTTAATTTTATTTACGTTTATAATATTTTAAATTAAAAAACAGTTTGCATTTCAAATCTCATAGTAGCATACGATATTTGAATAAATTTGGAATGTGTGCACTTTTGGAATACAAAATCGAATGCCTTCTAAAGAAGTTCAAAAGTTTAAAGACCAGCTTGCAACGGATTTAAGTGAATGCCTGAAGAAGAGCCCAGGAGGGGTGTCAAAAATGTTAGCACTAAAGAAACATTTTTTTGCTCCAGTTATTTGGTTTGAAGTAAGATCATTTTTTTACAATTTGCTTTGCTTGTTATGCAAATTACTTGTTATGAGAGGTGCTCATTAAGCGAGGTTCCATTGTATGTATAAAATAGAAACCCAAATCAGATTTTGGATGTATTCAAATTTTAATTTTTATTATACTGAAGATATAAGACTGAAATTTTTTACATTCTTTACTTGATACATGACATAAATAATTTCTGGTTAATCTTTTAGTTTGATGAATAAATGTATGTATAATATATAAAAGTTATATTAGCAAATAGCATTAATTCATAAAATAAATGCAATTTTTAAGGATTTAAACATTTTTAGAATAATCTTAATTCTATTTTATAACTTTTACTTTAATTAATTAATACCTTAAATATTGAACAGTATAAAAATAAATTACTTAGTTCTGAACAAAAAATTATTATTTTCAATTATTTTTCTGACTTCTAATTAAGTCTAACTTATGATTGCAACATTTTTCAAACAAAATCACTCATCACATTTGATGTTGACTGGGAATTACTATTTGACTCTGCTTTTGCAGTCTTCTAAGCACTGAATTTTTAATGTCATTGTGTGCTCATCTACATATTTGCTATAATTCTTTCTTACCAACAATTTTTCTTATACAATATTTGACAAAATACATTCTTAATATAAGGTTGACAAAATTACCCTGTGACATAATGATTTAATTGCCACTTTTAGTTTACCAAATCATACACTGTTTTTGACTGGGATATGCTGACATAAACAACAATAAGCATAGGGTAGCTTTCAGTTTTGAATCAGCATGTGGGATTTTCAACCTTTTAACAAATTCCAAAATAAGAAAAAAATTAAACAAAATATAATGACTTTAGAAAATGAAATAACATGTGGGATCAATTCCTCACACAATGAATAAGTCACAAGTTAATTTTAAAATGAAATGTAGATATATAATGACCTATTATATGTATACTTTGTTTTTAATTGAATTGATAGTTTTTTATTGTAATTTAAGAATAGAATTATCACACTTAATAAAACATTTAACCCTTATAATGCTGAGAATATTTATTAAATCACACACGTTAGAATTATCTTATAATTTTTGTATTTCAAAAATATTTTTAAAAAATAGTCTTAATTGAAGAAATCAATATACATAGGTGTATAAGCTTAAATCCACTGTTTTTTAGTCAGAAAAAAACACGTTTTTTTCTTAGAAAGCAAAAACAAATTTATTTAAAGTACTTTCCCTCACTAGTGACACATTTGTTCCATCTCTCGGGCAATGTGTGGATACCATGCCAAAAAAATTTCTTCTCTTTCAAGGCAAACCACTCATCAAGCCATTTTCGGACATCTTTGTAAGAATCGAAGTGTCGCTCAGCAAGCGCGTGGCCCATCGATGAAAAGAGGTGATAGTCGGAAGGGGCCAGGTCTGGTGAATAAGCGAGATGGGTAGCACCTCCCAGTTGAGTGTCTCCAAGTAGTTTCGGACCAATGTTGACACATGCGATGGTGCATTGTTGTGGAGGAAAATCAGCTTGTCGTGTCTTTGCTGATAATCCGGCCTTTTTTCACGCAGAGCACAGTGATCAGTTGTTGGTGGTAGTGGTGAGCATTGGCAGTTTCACCAGGTTTCAACAGCTCATAGTAGACAATACCCTGCTGATCCCACCAAATGCCCCACATTGTCTTCTGTCCAAAGCGATTTGGTCTTGGGAAAGATGTTGATGGTTTGCCTGGATCAACCCACGATTTCTTGCGTTTAGGATTCTCAAAATATATCCATTTCTCATCGCCAGTTACAATCTGATGCAGAAACGACTTTCTTTTTTGTCTGGCGAGCAAGATTTCGCATGTGTTTTGGCTTCGCTCCATCTGCCTATCATTCAATTCATGTGGCACCCATTTTCCGATCTTCTGAATCTTTCCCATGGCACATAGACGCATGGATATGGTTGGTTGAGTAACACCCAATTGCTCGGCAAGCATTTTTTGCGATTGGTTATCGTCCTCATTCAAAAGAGCCTGCAGTTGATGGTCCTCAACCTTCCTGGGCCGATTTTCACGCTTCTTGTCGGTCAGGTAAAAATTTCCATCTTTGAACTGACGAAACCAATCTCTGCACGTGGTTTCTGATAAAGCTCTGTCTCCATAAGCCTCCACAAGCATTCGATGTGCTTCGCCAGCCGATTTCTTCAAATTAAAGCAGAAAAGCAAAGCTTGCCGCATATGCTCTTTTTCTGGCACAAAAGTAGACATGATTACAAAAAAAAAAAATATCTAATGATGTGCACTGATTAATGTTGACAGATGTCAAAATCATCAAAAAAACAATATGGCATCGTCATGGTAACTTAGTACGCTCGCTTACACCATCTACTAGCAAACAGCGGATTTAAGCTTATACACCTGGTAAGACTCTTTTTTGAGTTTTAAGAAAAGCTGCTTAATGATGTAATTTAAATACTTTTCACTCTATATTTTCATTTGGTTCTGTTGCAATTTTGGTTTTTTTTTTCAATTATAAAATTTATAAAAACTTTAAATGAGTTAAGTTAAAAAGTAATAATAGAATTTTAATTAAATATCCATAGGAATTGAATGTAGCTCGTTTAAAAGCAGAATTATTTTTGGAGATATCATTACCTACGATTAATGATCCATATATTATGGCAGTGGTAGCTTATGCTCTTTCTCAGTCTTCAAGTGATCTAAAACATGAGGCAAATGAAAAATTGAAACAGATGTCTATATTTGATGAAGGTAAGTTTTTTTTTGGTCTATTCTAATTTTATTAAATAAAATATTATTAGCTGTAAAATAAAAATACTGCATATGAAAAGTTTTTCTACTGTTAATAAGTTATGTTAAAGCATATTGTTTTGAATAAAATATAATTTTTCAATTTAGAAGTTTAGAGAATTAGTAATGAAATATGTAGTAATTTTACGGAATATGCTGAACTCTTTTCAGCATTTTCTAAACATAGAGTAATTGATTTAAAATTGTTACAAAACATTTATTTTAAAGTTTTGGTTGACAATGAAACAGTATAAATGACTCGTGATTTTATTTACAAATTATAATTCAGTAGTCCATAAATGCTAATTTATTCTGTAAAGTCCAGCAGCAATGTATTATATGTAAACACAATATGTCACAATGCAACTGTAATGGCATATGTTCTGATTTTTCAGATTGAAAAAATAGATCATAATAATATAAAAAATAAGCAAGTTTTCTTGAAAAATATATATCCCAACAAAGACTAATAACTTGCGAATCAATATGCAAGAAAAGAATGGTGAAAAATGTAACAAAAGTGTGAAAAATAAAATTACACTCATTTAGTCATAAAGTATGTTGTCTGCCTGATTTGTTCAGATGAATTGCTGTACAATAGCAGCATCAGGCATACAGCATACTTTATGCATTGAATAAGTGTATATTTTTTGACCAATGTGAAGCTAAATTACTACTCACAACTGCTATTAATCAAGTTAAACCAAGCAGAAACTACTAGAATTTGTCTGATGGACTATTGAATTAAATTCACAATGTCATTTAGCCATTCATCTATCATATGATCATTGATTCAAAATCATTTATATCATATCCCTTAATTAAAAAGGACCCTTTGATGACTCTCATATCCAAGTGGTATGGTCTTATCCATATGCAACTCATATCAGTTGTGAGGCACTTATATGTAACTTAATTGAGAGCATATGAAGAAAGAAAAATGCACAGTGGAATATTTATTCCATACTTTTTTTCAGTTGTGAATTCTGTGTCTGGAATTCTGAGTCTGACTATTTGTTATTGCTTATCACAGATATAAGAATATAATTATTCATTAAATTATTCAAGTGTATAAATATCAGGTCAGTCCATAAATTCATGTGCATTTATAGTTAATTTAATGCAAACACAAACGTTTTCGATCTTTCGTGGAATTTTTTAAGGTTCAGAGATGTGTTGTTTTTTGTGCCGTTTTTATAGTTAAGATAAAAAAAAATTCATAATATTCAAATTTTTTCTTAATCCAAAATGTATTTGCCATCAGTTTCCACTATATCTTGAAACTAACTTTTTAATTCCACTCTCATAAAAAGTTTTTGGTTTAGAATCAAAACTGTGAAAATTCAAGGTTAATTAAATTAACAGGTGATTAATTGGGTAAGTGGAAAAACCCCAGTTTTTTCCCACTCCACCATTTCATATTTCCATCACACACAGATACGAGAAATAAACAGACGATCGAATAATTTTATGAATCAACGATCATCTTGATGTTTGGGCTTATTGGAGAAACTTTGTCCAAACATCCAGTTATTAATGAGGAAAGCTGTCAAAAGTGATTATCGAATATGGGAATAAGAATCGTAGAATTGGCCAGATTGTCGATGTCTCATTGGCCTGCCTCTGCTGGACAGACACGGCTCGAACTTAGTAGACCACATTAAATCAAAGTCACCTGAGTCTGTTCCCATGTGCAATGCGTATAAAAAAGGCTTGCACCTAAGTATCAGGGCAGACATCAACAGTAGACATAAGGGGACCAACCCGCCATAATAGAGACGGACTTCACACAGAGAGCTAAGGGACCAAAGCTCTGTCCATCATCTCTCCTGTCTCTCCTCCAGAAGTAACCTCCAAGGAAGATCAACGAGTGTCTTGTCGACCTTCGAATAAATTGGATCCGAAGACAACTGATTGTCTATAAGAAGCATTATGCAGTTATTGTAAACTCTCTCTCTTGGTCGACTTAGAATATAAGGATGTAGATATAAGGCTTTAATGTTTATCCCATACAGTCGTATGGACTGGATAGAAATAGTCCCGGATCTTATGTTACCTACAAAAGGTAGACTAACCTGTAGTGTATTAGCTTACTGTATCATTTACTTTTGTTATTAAGTTCATTAAATTGTTTTAATTGTTAAATGAGTCTGGAGTGAACTTCCTTTGGAGAACGGCACCTCGGCTTACCCATCCCCTTTGTTGCTCAGATCCTGCCATCCAGAGATACTTGAGTGACTCACTCAAGTGTCTCCAGATCATCCTTGCTCAAGTGGATGCCAATAAAAGAGTTTAGAGCTTTTTACACCCTAACCCCTTGGCTTCTCACAAAATATTTGGCAACTGCATTTTCAACACTACTGCTGTTTAAAAATTTTTTGTTTTAAAAAATTCTGTAAGCACTGGAATAAACAGTAGTCACTTGGTGTCAAATCATGTGAATATAGTGGATGCAGTAAAATTCCCCAATTTAGTGTTCCAACTTTTTGAGAGTTGATTTTGTAGTGTTGTGATGTATATGTGGTTCCACAAACAGGAATACCTGAAAGAAATTCAGTACAGTAAGGTCTGTAACACAAATCAATTTTATTTGCCTCAAATAGGTTCAAATAATAATGATCCCAACTCACAGGCAGTAATTAAGCATATACAAAAATCAAATGTTCCTTTATATGATCAAGCCAACTAAGACATGACAATATTAGTGCAAGGACTTATAACTATGACTTAACCTTAATATAAACTAAGAAGGAGAAAATGAATATATGGGAAAAATAAGAGAAGGGGAAGAAAGAAGCACTTGGGTATTTTTAGTCACATGTCTCAGGTGGGCCACCGTTAACCAATATTTGGTTGTCAATATTTGGTTAACTTATCTATATTGTTCTTCTCTACTGTGCAAGTCCACCTTCCTTTGAAGTTTCCTTATAATTGCTTCACTCCGGATTCCTTGATAAGAAAATATTACCTTTTGGAAAAATCTTCTCTGAACTTCACTCTTTATGTTACAATTCAGGAGAACTACGAAAGCTGACTCAACTCTATCGGATTAGGTTCTTTAGCTCTTTTCATAAGTCTTTCGTTGCCTCTGATCTCTCCACCCGTAACCAAGAGCACAACTCTATGATGCTTCCTATCACATCGAGATCACGACCAAAAAATGAGCCTTTTTGCTCTTTCGAACCCCCTGGGGTTCATTACCTCCTTTGTCTTACCATGTCCGTTCTGAGAATCAGTGATCCAACCTGAGAGGAAAAGGATTAAGAAAGAAAGTTCTAGAATAATGAAGACAAAGAACAAAGAAAACATTAAGCCTAAAATGTAAAATATATAAAAAACTACGCATTAATATGGCTGACAGCCACAGTGTATTATCTATCATTGTCATGTTGCAACAAAACATTCTTTCTGTTGATTAGGTTTGGCCAATTTTATTGTAATCTTTCATTTAAGTGTTCTAATTGCTGACAATATATTGCAGTTGAAATTATTTGGTTTGCTTCCAACAGCTCAAAGTGAATTACATTTGTCACATCCCATCAAAGAACCAAATGAATTTTTTTGGATGCAACCCAACTTTTCTTATTGGTTTTGATTGTTGAGCTCGATCTGTCCATTACCTTTCTCTTGTTACATTATCATAAATGATCTACTTCTTACATCCAGTAACAAACTAATCAAAGAAGGGTTCCAAAGCAAAACATGAAATTATAGTAGTACATCTGTTTGCTGGTGATTACCCAGCAATAATTCATGTGGCACCCATTTTCCTAACTTCAACGCTTTTCCAATTTCTTTTAAAAGTCTGTAAATGGTTTCATGGGAGGAATTTAAATATTCTGCAACTTCATCAACAGTTAATTTGGGTTTTTCTGCCACTAGTGCTGAGATAACATTGTTATCAGAGTTCCCAGGTCTTCCTGAATGAGTTTTATCATTCTTCTTAAATCATTCAAACCACTTTTTGCAAGCAGCTAAAGGAGTAACAAAAATCAGAGGTCATTGAAGAGGTCATAATGGAACTTGAAACTGACCTAATGACAGAAGAACACTTGAATGAAAAACACCAAGAAACCCAGAGAGATGTATTTTCTTCTGAAAAAGAGGAATACAAAAGAAGATCAATGCTGGCATCTGCTATTAACAATCTTTTGAAGAAGTGGGAGGATGTCAGAACAATGATCTTAGAATGGCATCCAAACCAGGTTGAGGTTATCTCTATGACGACAATGCTATTAATTACTTTCGAAAAATCCTGAAGAAGAGAGAAAAGCAATCGACATTGGACAGATTCTTTAACATGTTCCAGAAATGGAAAAACAACATGACTGATAAAAATGCAAGACTGTATATACGGTCTTGGAACAGATTACGTTCATTAAACGATCACCCACTGTATAATAAATGTGTTTTGAATTTTTCAAAAATTTAGCACAACACATGGAAATTAATAAATAAATGTATAAATGCTAATTTTATAAAAAAGTTCTAAAGACAAGAAAATAATTTACTTTTTTGTCTTTAGAACTTTTTTTTATAAAATTACCATTTATACATTTATTTATTAATTTCCATGTGTTGTGCTAAATTTTAGAAGTTAACAAAAAAAATATATACAAGGTCTGTTCAAAAAGTATCGGACCTTTTTTTTTTCCGTGTAAACCAATGATGCGCGAGAGGCCTCCTTCGGTGGAGTTGTGGAGGGGACAGTCATGCACAGCCCTGAAGTTTTTCCCGCCTGCAGGAAGCGTCAGTTGTTGGCAATCGGCATATGAGTGAGGTCATGTAGTGCGCTCTCATCGGATTTCACTAAGCTGGAAAATGACTGAACAACGTGAGCAGCGATATTACATCAAATTTTGCCAAAAACCTTGGCGATACCCGAGTGTAAACCATTTGCAAGATTCAGCAGGCTTTCGGGAACAATCCTCAAGGCCAAAAAAAGCGCGGCAGGCCGCAGCAATATCAGAGGTCATGTTGACAGTTTTTTCGACTCTCGTGGGGTGGTGTGTCGTGAGTACGCACCACAAGGCCAAACCATTGCAAAGGAGTACTACCAGGAGGTCCTTCGTCGTCTTTCTGATACAGTACGACGCAAACGACCGGATCTGTGGTCGATCAAAACTTGGCAGCTCCATTGTGATAACACATCCGCCCATTCTGCGCATCTGATTCGGGCTTTCGTCGCCAAACACAATACTCCTGTGGTTCATCACGCTCTGTACTCTCTCCACATGGCTCCGTGTGACCTTTGGCTTTTTCTCAAGCTGAAAATGTCGCTAAAAGGAACCCAAATTTAGTCGAGAGAAGACATCATGCGAAATGCGACGGACCGGCTTATGGTTATAAGCCGATAACCATTCCAAAAGATGCGTTCCAGCAGTGTTTCCAGCAATGGCAGGAACGCTGGGAGAAGTGTATACATTACCAAGGAGACTACTTTGAACGGGATTAGGGTTTTGTACCTCAAAGTCAATAAATTTATTTTTGCCGACCAAAGGTCCGATACTTTTTGAACAGACCTTGTATATATATTTTTTGTTTGTTTTTGAATACAATGTATCTGAGCATGTAAATTACACATTTCTATTCACTATTTAAAGATAGATGGGAATTTTCTATTTTGCATGTGATGCTAAATTGTAATTTTTTTAATATATTATTAGACTTGAATCAAAGACATTGGAAAGAAAATACAAGATCTCATTCCATTGAAGTTGCTGCTTATGCACTCCTGACGCAACTTGCATTAAATGATTTATCTTATAGTTTACCCATTGTGAACTGGCTCAATACTCAACGACTTGTTGGTGGAAGTTTTCCCTCTACTCAGGTATTTATTTCTTATTTATTAAATGATCACTAGTATATATTTCATTACTCAATATTCATATATTCAATTTATAATTCTAATGGTTTTATAAAATATATAAAATTTTTACATTATTATTGTACTATATGTGAAAGATTTTATGTATTAGAGCCGAAAGTTTTTGCCAAATAAATAACTGGCAGTTTTTTTTGGTGAATTTAAGGCAAAAAATTGGTGATTTTAGAACCAAAAGTCTAAAATTGCCACTTTTTTGCCTTAAATTTTCCAAAAAACTTGCCAGTTATTTATTTCAAAAATGAGTTAAAACGAATTACACTTAGATATTTCAAATAATCCTCATTTAAACTATGATGTCGATCACTCAATACTGATGAATATAATGAGAACGAACATTCAACGTCAACTGCAACTAAAGGAGCGTACTTGCTATTAACTTTATCACTTAAATTCATATCAAATGACGTAAATTTGATAAGATCCGGATTGTTTGACAAAACTTTTCCCAATTTTTGATAAAATATAGGATAACCAGAAACAATTTCTTTTGCATTTTCAATTAGTTTGGCTTGTTTAGTTACATTGAGTCCTTTTTCTTCCAGTGATGATATAATATTTGATAGCCTGATGAGATTACAGAGATCAAATAATTCTTTCTTGAGGTTAAATTTCTTCTCTTGCAATAGTTTCACCAAAACATTTCTAGCATTTGAATGAGATTTTTGTTTATAGTTCAAAATGAAGCACTCAACAGCATCAAAATTATTGACATAGTACTTTGCAGTATTTAATCACAACCCCCAGCAAGTGACAATTGGTTCTGGAAGAAGATTACTAATTCCAGTTGCATTCTTAAAATAATTTTGTCTTTCTCTTGACTTCACAAAAAACTTCATTTCTGATATAAGTGAATATGTTAATTTGTACTCATTCTGAATCCTAAATGCAACGTTATGTAAGGCATGAGTGAGACACATGACGTGATGTACATTTGGAAAAATCAATGAATTTTTCTTAATCTCATTTACTGCCTTCATCGTGTATTTTTGCTTGATCTGTCACTATTAACTTCAGTTTTGAATATTTTAAATCATTTGGCCACAATTTTCTAGACACATTGAGTATACATTCTTGTATTATAATGTTGTGAACTGTTGAGTGTAATGTCACATCAATTAACATTGATTTTGCTTTCTCGCCATTCAATTTCCCTACAAGCATGTTGACTACTTTGCGTTGCACTTTGTCACTAGTTTTGTCAACAATGAAATAGACATCATGTCCTTAATTTTTTCTGTTACTGAGTTGAAGATAGTTTTTTGATGTGCCCACAGTGCTAAGAAAATAAATGATGCAATGAGACTTCAAATAAAGTCATATTTCAGCTAAATTATGAGCACAATCATGAATAACAGCATCAATTTCAATAAAATAAACGTTTCATTAAAAAAAACTAATTACAATAAAAAAAAATACCTGGAACACTTTTGATCGGCTTCTTCATATATTTCTCAGAAACAATCTCAGTTTTTCATTATTTAATTTTTCAAGCGGAATATCTGCACTGGTGAATGCTTCAATCATTTTTTAATCAAAATCGCTTCCATTTTCAAACAGCAGTGTTTGTGACTGTAGTGTATGTATGTTTCTTGTGTTTTGCACTGTTGAAATGTTCCGAAAGTCGTTTCTTAATTGTATCACATTTGTAGTTGACGTGTGTAGAGCACTTAACACAGAGAATTGTTTTTTGGTACTGCAAAATATATTGCCACCTAATTCCTTAATCACGGAATCAATTTTAAATTCAATTGACTGTTTTCTAGACATTTTTGCATGAAGCACATGGAAAACTGACGATTTCGCCACTTATCACCAAATTTGCCAGTTAGGGTAAAAATTGCTGATATTGAGACTGGATTTTTAAAATTAGTATTAATTGAAAGATGCTCATTCCAGATGAATATAGCTGAGAAATTGCCAATTTTAAAATGCAATTATAAACTCATCAATCACTAAGTCACTAAGAGCATCTGTAAGAAAGAAGAAAATCCTTTAGCATTGCAGACATATTCAACTAGCATTTAGATTTTTTCCAAAAATACCAAAACTGTACATATATCTTTCCTTTAGATATTTTCTATTCATTATCATCAGGCACATTTCTACTTGAATCTTGAAATTTGATAAATTTCTGGCTACTTCCCCAATCTGTATGTAATGTCATTATTTCAGAGAACTGTTTACAAACTGAGTGCTGAATTTATCTCATAGCAATAAAAATAAAGTAATGCATTAAAATAAGGTGAATTTTGATATGATTAAAATAATTATAGACATTTAAAATGATAAGTATAGCTTATTAATTAACTGTGCAATGTTTTACCTTGTTTATGAATAATATCATAACTTTCCACCATAATTAAATTGAAACTAAACAATAAATTTGAATATAAAATGCATTTGTACACTATGATTAAAAGAACATGCATTTAAAATTAAATAACTTCTAAATTATAAGATAACACAGGTATTGATCCATAAGCAACAGAGGGGACCTATCACTTCAAATATTTTTATACCATACTACAAAAATCTGGAGTAGAAACTAGTACATCATATAGAGTCCGTGTGCAAGTTACTCACGCGCCGCCCTGGTGGAAAATATTTACATAACACATAGGAGAAAAATGCGAAAGGTTTCGTCTCCATTTGAACCCTTAAAGTGGAAAAAAATGAGACATTCATTTAGTCACCATTAGAGAAGATGCAAATGTTCTACTTTAATTATTGTTTACCTGCAATTGTAAACAGTATTTAAGTATTAAGTGTAAATATATCAAGTTTTTATAGTGTTTTCACAATAAAAAAATTTCACTCATTTATAATTGGTAGCTGCAGATTTACTAATACTACACAAACAAACATTACATTATCTACATATGGAAGAAGTTAAATGGGTAATCTACAGTTCAATATTTCAAAAATTTTAATTCTACCAATGGCTCTCTCAACGTGAATTCTTACACGAGCAATTTTGTATGTTTTGTCCATTTCGTTACCACTAAACTGCTTTTGATTCGGTTTTGAAAAAGGAGGCATAATTAAAATAGAATTTTTATTTTTGACAGCCAATTTAATTTCAGGAAACCCTCTATCAGCTATAACAATATCTCCCTTCTCCAGTTTTTGCATTTGTTACAGATTTGTATATAACAATTATTTGTTATGAACGAATCTGTACTTCTTCCTTCACACCCACTAGAACGAAAAGTTATAAGTCCTGATGGAGCAATTCCAATTAAATATTTTATAGTATAAGCGTATTTATAGTAACTTAATGTAACTTAACTTATATGTAACTTATTTTCCCAAGAAAATTCATAAACTCTAACAGGACTGTTTGGAAGCATGTCTAAAAATAAATTGAAAACATCGAATTCTACTGATGTTAGATCTTTTAAAGATTGATCGGCATGAAAATTTGTTACACCATTAAAATGACATGACCTATGATTTTCTCCTTATTTTTTGAAATCATTTTACATGGGAAACTTGAGTTTCTTAAACTTGTTACTAGTCATGCAAATAAAAATTCTTACATCTCCAAACTATTTGTTTGTATTCTCTGTTTGAGTTCCAAAGTCACGTTTTTTTTCTTTAGGGTCTAAAAAATTGTCTTCAATTGCTACATCAGTGTGTCTTCCTGCTTCTTCTTCAAATAAAATGTTCCTTCTGTTTATTAGGCGTTTATATCTCTTCATTGACTGTTCATGTCGACAATTTTCTTCATTGCTTCTTTTTTCAGGATAGATTGTTGAATTATAAATTGGACATCTTGGATCTTCACTTTTTCCCCCATCCATAAAATGCATACTACATATCTGTGCTGATTTAGAGGGTAGCCACTGTGATCCGTTTTTACTAAATTTACAAGGATATTTTTAGAAAATTATTCGTGTCAATTTTTTAAAAATTAACAATAAATTTTGTGTTTCTTATTTTTGTCTTTTAGCAAAATTTATCCAAATTTGGTGCCTCTGTTTAAGGTGTGGACATGCCTGAAAACCATAAAACGAAACGTTTGGTGTTACATGTTTGCTAGTGTATCAGAACATCCAAACACACAACGATTTACATTTGATTTATCCATGTTTAATATTATAACTCAAATACAAATTAAAAAACAATAAGCAATTTACTGTACTAGGTATCAATTTTGAAATGTCTCAGATACAATGCATATGCATTCTTTAGAGCAGTGTTTTTCAATCTTCTTGAATATGCAACCTCTTTACAAGTTAAAAAATTCTGGCAACCCCCAGGGCCATATTAAAACTATATCAGTGATTTTAAAAACTATGTATTTGATTTTCTTTCTGTTGAGACCTAAATATTGATCGAAAAACCAATTGTACTGTAAAATAAACAGGTACAGCCATCTCACTGAAATTGTATGTGTTTTTTATTGTTGCGTAGGACCTACAAACATTTGTCTTTTTCTTTTACCCGCAATCCCCATGTAAGGCTTTGCGACCCCCTGGAGGTCGCGACCCACGGGTTGAAAACCACTGCTTTAAAGAACTCCTGTGTTATGTAAATATTTGCCATCAGAGCAGCGTGTGAGTAACTTGCACTCAGACTCTATATAACAGGTAACCTTATTTTTTATATCCACTCAAAACCAACGAAAAGAAATTTTTTTACTCGTTTTTGTATACGAAAGACAGTTTGAATTAACATATGCTAAAGCATAAAAATTTGTATCAATAGTATTCCTACTCCATTTACTCCCTCTTTCAGCAAATAAAAAATAAATTAGGCATATGCCTTTTTCTCCATCTCCCCCCAACTGTCCTGACTCTCAAATAGATGTACAGATTGATGCTGATGAAGATAAGAGTTCTTAAATTTATATTTATTCTGCTACTATGTTTATGGAAAAAAATAATAGAAAAGAGAAGAGACATGTTCTCCTTTCTATTTTCTTTCCATAAACATTTATACTTAAAAAAAAAAGGAAACAGAATTGCATATACACTTTTGGTACTTTAAAAAAAAAAAAAAGCTTTGAAAGCATAGCAAAAGTGAAACCTGAGTTGTAAAATTCATTTAAAAAATTATAGTATATGCAGTTAATAAATTTGAGAAGAAGAAAGAACAGAAATTATTATAATCTTGTAAAAGAAATTAAGAAAGATAATGCCAAATTTTTGATATCTTAGGTAAGTTTTAAGTATATAGACCTATGTAAATTTAATATTCAATTCAGATATGTTTAACTTGAAATATATAAATAATAAAATATGATTCATTGAAAATAATTCTGCTGTAATCATTTCAATTTAATCAGTCTCCATGTTGAAGAATGCAAAAGATTGTGGACTACCAACAGGGAGAATAGTAGAACTTATTTTAAGAAAATAATAGAACCAGGGAGAAAAGTAGAACTAAAAGATAACAAAAGTATTTCACTAGTAATGTGCAAAGTATTATGCCACTAAACCTATTTAGTGTTGTTTTCTTCTCTTTTCCATTCTCGTGAAATATGAACTGGCCTTAATTCTTCAACACATTACATTGGATATTATCATTATTAAAATTATTTTCTAATTAATTTTTTCTGAGTTTATTATAGCATTTATTATTATTATTATCATCATCATCATTTCAACATTGAATTAAATAATTAAATGTCAGATTATTTGGCCTATATTTTGGCTAATTATCAACAACTAGTATAAAATAATTTTGTTCACTACTTTGTACTAATATTAATAATTACAAATATAAAAAAATATACCATTCCATGTAATAAAATGTCATACAACTTAATATTCCAGCTCCTATTTAAAAATCATTAGTATAATTTTCTTTATATAAATAGATATATAAATCTACTTCTAAATTAGTTTTTAACTTGATTAATGTATTCCTGTTATATTTAACATAATCTCATGTTGCTAACATGCAATGGCATATATCTCACAGAAAATTGCTAGATTGGAAACAAAACTTTTAAATAACCCATGCCCCCATTCTAAAATAGAATAATTTAAATTAGATCATATTGTCTATATTGTGTGGGTTTGAAAGATTTTTCAAAGATTTATTCTGAAATTTTCTTTCCTACTTAACCAATTAAAAAATATATGGAAAAATTTCAACTGTTGTAAAAACATGTATATGATCAGAAATAAATAGGCACTCTTATGTTCAGTATGACTACATTAATAAACAAAAATGAAAACTATATTATGTGGGATTAAGATTCAAAGATGCGCACATCAACTAGTCTGTATACACTTTGGCGGTATAACAAATACAGTTTTGATAATTTATATTTTTACATTTCAGGATACAGTAATTGCGTTACAAGCTCTATCACAATATTCAATGCAGTCTCAAAGTCCTGATTTATCTCTTATGTGTAATGTTACTTCAAGTAATGATAGAAACTTGGCAAAAACACTGGAATTTAAAAATGATAATGCACTTGTTTTGCAGCAGTTTGAGGTTAGTAAATAATTACCAAAATATTAATAGATTAGTGGATACTTCACATCTGATAATATTTTGTTATACAGGTCAATAAAGTTGGTGGAACATTGTTTTTTCGTACAGCTGGTAACGGAGTTGGTTCTTTGGCAGTGAAATTAAGATATAATGTTCCAGTTCCAGTTGAGAAACTTTGTAAAGTAAGTAGAAATATTAAATCTATAATCAAAACCTTGTTGAAAATAAAAATAATCTAGCAATAGCAACATACTTACTAATAAAATAAGTTTGTTAAAAATATATAAACTTAATTTATTTTTTTAACTCTCTCCACCCCATAAACCTAAGAGAGCCTTTTTAAAGCCCACAGTGCATTGGGTGAGAAAGGGGCTTGACATACATAGGAAAGATTGATCACCCCAAAAAATTGAGATTTTTTGACCTGGCTTCAATCTCAGGTTGATGCCATAACTGCCTCGGCCATCTGGCTAGCCTTATTTAATTGCTTTAAAATTTTTTAAAATATTTGATTCTTCATCTTAACATGAAACAAAATATTAGGGAATTATATTTCTATGCAACAATAGAATAGAAGAAAAAGTTATAGCTAATGTAAATTTTAAAAGTATGTGGTCACTTTGGAATTGGAATATTAAAATTCAGTAAAACTTGGTCCCATATTTAAATATAGGGAAATAAACTGCTTACTCAACATAGACAAAATTGGTTTTTGGGTAGATTTAAATTTAAATCCAATACTTGTTATTAGATATTACAATATCCAATATTTGGATACTATATTTCTAATACTGTAAATAGTATGCAGTTCTATCTTTGGAATTTGTTTCTTTGTGATAATTAATTAGATGTAAAATATATTGACAATGGAGTTCCTAGTAAGACTAATATTAATATATTCTAACAGAAAGTCTTGACACAAATAGAAATAGATCAGTTGCATTATTTTTTTTTATTTATGTAAAAAATTACTTTTATATAACGAACGAACTGGATAAATATACTATTAATAAAACACACCTTTAATAATCCAGCTAATAAAAATTAATAATATAATAACGTTTTTGATTGTTTCTTAATGATATTCTTCAGTTACCATAACATAGAATAAAATCGAACACAAAAAAGAACATAAAT